CATCTCTTCAGTGAATTACTTTCGGCACAACGTGATTGATTGGGTTAATTTGTTCGTTTTTTCATAATTTTCATAAACAGGACCATAACTGCAACGATTCAAAAATTATTATGTGTCAAAGAATGTCTCGGTACGTAATACTTTGTATTTCGAAATCCGTACTTTGAAAACTCACATATAAAAATAACCATAACTAATCCGATCATAATCCACATCCAACATTTCCACGCTCTCTTCGAATGCTCTTTGAGTACTGTGCCTTCTTTGTCCAATGCCACGATATTTTTTTCGGATAAATGGCTGGATTTTGTTAATTTCTAAAAGTAAACCAACAAAAAAAAAAGTCATAATTTTTCAAACCAAGATCAACTGACTATCGGCAATGGAATAACATAAGAAAACGAAGGGTTTATTTCGTACTTCAGTATCTTTTCGAATGATTTCGTTGGCGATTTTCGATTGTTCCTTCAGATTCCTAGTTAAGGCGAGCATTTCTTCGGCAATTTTCTCCTGTACATTGGCATGGTGCTTCATTGCTTCGTTCATGTCTTCACCGCTGCCCGTTGTGCTGCTTTTCACTCGCTGTCGGACAGCATTGTTTGGATCATTGCCACTGACTCCGAGCAAATCACGACGCAACGATTTTACATACTTGGAATCTTGTATTTGATTCATTTCTCGTACAATATGATTACCGGCATCCAATGATGACTTCGATTTGAGTTTGTCGGCTAGTTTTGGCGGTTCTACGTAATTGGTTTGTTCTTTCAACGCCTGACATCGTGTTTTGTATTCATCGGTTGCTGATATTTTTGGCTTTCTAAAATAGTCACAGACAAACGTTCCAAATCATTCGTTGCAAATTAAATCAACGGAGAAAAAGCAGTACTCACTCATCACTTCCGTCCAGCTCTCGAATCATAGTGTCCAATGATTTGATGTATTTCTTAAGCAACCAATTATTTACATCATCTCTCGCCAAATCCTCACATTGCACGATCAATGTACGAACATTCATTTCTAATTTTGTTGCCATGTTTTGTGGCTATTGAAATTGTCTATAATACTTGTTGAGATTTAACTGTGTGGATTTATTTTAAAATGTCATAACTTCGCGGTGGAATAACAAAATTAAAAGAAAAATAAAAACAGTTTCAACGAATCCAAAATGCAAGTGAACTCGAACGACAGCAACTGAAATGCAAACACAAAAAAACACAACAAAATATTGACGAAAAGTGTCAAACACGTCGCTTGATAAATGTCATGTGAATGCATGCATCGGGGCGCCATCTGGATATTACTTGAACCGGTAAACACAAATTGGCGCCAGTGCATCTCAACATCTTGCAACTCACGTTTGCTCTTGAGCCATGAATTGCGTTTCACCAAAATCATCCGATCGCAAAAAGCCAATCAATCATCGCAGCGATGTGAACAACGATGATTGCCACTGGAAAATTTGGCCCATCGTTCGAAATAACTACCAAAGAATCGCATACGAAGCATACAAATCGAATGACAACGATAAAGCAATTTTGTATGATTCGATGGCGCTCAGCTGTGGGTTTGTTGGTGGTATATTGAACGTTGATCGCTTAGGCCAGAACATCGACCATCAAACAGTTTTCAAAACAGTCGACTGGCAACAAAATACCAATACCAATCAATTGATCAACTTTTTGTCAGCGGCAATGGGCAATGTTTCGATCAAAGAGTCGGTCAGCGTAACGTCGAATATTGATAGCGATAGTGACCAACGACGATTCAATGAATTGTGCGCAAAATGTGCTGAACTGCCGCAAGAATGGAATGTGGTTCAACTCAGCCAAATGTACAACGGTTACAACAGTTATTCCACGATAAAAGACTCGTACACAAGCGATGCACCCATCAAAATCACACTGTTTCGAGATAGTTTATCTGAATCGCGGAACAATCGGCCGACATTTATCGTTTTAGATCTCTGTGAAACAGGCGAAAAAAGCGTATGTAACCTCAATTTTGACCATATCGTTGTTCCATTCATTCTATGCTTATCATTCATTTCAAACTGACAATATCCATTCCATACACAGATATTTTCAACGGCATATGAGATACATCATGTGCTCTACAAAAATTACACCCAGAACATGGAAGCAACTTATAAGACATTCATACAACAATTGACACAATTGCAAACCAAATTGGTGGACGATATGTCATCGTGGTTGGGACCGTGGATATCGTTACTGTGTGGAAAAATTAAGGGTCGCAATGGTAAAGCCTTCGAACAGTCGATTTTCAAACAGGTGGACCAATTTTGTAACGAACACAATGACATCACCGAGAACCAGCGCGTTCTGCTCCATTTAATGTGTCGTCGCATTGATTTGTTTGACATAAAACAAATGAAACAAGGATGTTCGGACATAGCAAACACGAATGAACAGTATAATCATATGGTGACATTTTTAAAGAAGCTCAAGGAAAAGGCTGTGATAAAAAGCGAATCACACGAATATTATCCGTGCATTTTGGTCGTTGATGAGAAGTTGGACCAAATGCCTTGGGAAATGGTGCTTACATCGCAACAATATACACGTGTACATTCCATTCACTTGCTGTTCGATTTGTATGTGCGCTTTTCCATTGTTTTTCCTTTCTCTATTCATTGAACATTCTATTGATGCATTCATTTGTTGATATATTTTCTGCTAGGTATGAGAGATTCAAAGACCAAATCGACGACGGATACTTGAAAATAAAAGTGAAAAATGGTTTTGCACTCGTCAATCCCGACAACGATTTAAAACTTGCTGATATGCGCAACAGATTGAGCCAATACTACGACACATATTTTCCAAAATGGAATTTGATTGATGGAGTTGTGCCGACATTGAAACAAATATCTGATGGGCTTGGGAAAACCGATTTGTTTGTCTACAGCGGACATGGCAGTAGTCTTCAGTTCTTCTCGTCCATGGAATTCGAACAAATCAAGCACAACTGCGTAATGATGCTGTTCGGCTGTGAATCGATTGCAATGAAACCACATGGAATTATTTGTGAAGCGAGCTGTTCAGCGTATACATACTTCCACAGTGGTTGTCCAGCCGTTCTCGGTGGAATCACCATTGTGACCGATATTTGGATTGATCTCATCACAATTCTCCTACTCACACAATGGACCCCATCGAAGCATGGCAAGCATCCCACGATCCAAACATGCAAAGACGAATCCACAAAGAAGCGTGTCAACCAAATTTTGAAGAAATACGATGGCAAACGAAACCCAAATCTACTTGAATTGCTGTGCAATATTCGTAATGAACGGGAAATTAACATAAGAATGAGATCGGCCATCGTCTTAAGAGGTCTTCCGCCGTTCAACACTGTATGCGACAAATGATTAATCGAAAGAAATGGAATGGTTTGAACGGGAGAGAGAAAATTAATCGAAAGTTGTATAAAAATGAAGAAGCTAAAAAAATGAAGATTCAGCGGGAAAGAAATACACGCATCAATTCCAATGTACAAATAAATTTGATTGTTGTTTTTTATTGATTCCTTTAAACAAATATATTATTAATTTACTATCAATTGTTATTATTCATCGTTTATTTTGCTATTTTACATAAAATCATGTTTGGTTTTTTCCCTTATTCCAACCCATTACTAGAAAATGAAAATTCGGACACAGAGAAAAAAGTGTGTTTGTATTTTTGTGTGTGTGTGTGTGTGTGTGTATGTGTGTGTGGTTGTACTTTAAGCACTAAATAAATGGCTTATAAAATTGAATCAAATTCAAGTTACGACGGTTTCATTCTTTTTTTTTCATTTCATTTTCTTCTTCTTTTTTCTTCTAGTGCATTGTATACGTATAATATGATGATGTGCCAACAACTAATTGGCCATTTGTGTAAATGGGTGTATGTGTGTGTATGAAATCTGAAAATGTTGAGAGAGAAGAAAAAAAAACATGAACAACAAAAAAATTTCTCTATAATGATCGTTTTGATTTATGTATTATCCCTATTTTATATCATAGAATCCTTTTGCACGAGTGGTTTTTTTGTTTTTCATTCTAATGAAAATTGCCTATTTCTTCGATAAAAAAAAATCAAACATGTGTTTTAAGATTGCTGAGCATCACAGCATTTCGTAAGGTACGGATTTATCCGAGCATATCGACGACGCATACTGTATAATACAGTGGCGTGTGTTGCTACGTGCAGGCGCAACGACTCGACCGAAGTGTGTTCAGTTGATGTGGCTGCACGCAGCAACAACATACACATTCCGGTCGAGTCGTTGCGCCTGCGCGTAGCAACGCACGCCACTGAATCCGTCGTCGATATGCTCGGATATATCCGTGCCTAACGAAATGCTGAGATGCTCAGCAATCTTAAAACACATGTTTGAAAAAAATTGATGTATGTGTGTGTGTGTGTGTGTGTATTTGGACTTATTCTTCGAGATTGATGGTCATCTGAACCGGCATTGCGATGCGTGTTATATGATTTTCATTGAAATATTTAATGCGAAGCAAATGACGTTGAATAATATACAATCGAATAAATTCGTTCAATGACGGTTCAAATGCATTCGAATCGATTAAATCTTTTGTTATTTTGTTCACAGCATTTTCGCAAACGCGAAAATTCGGATTCTGTATGGAGCAAAAAGTTTCTTCAACTTTTTTCAGTTTTCGCTTCAGATCTTTGATGTCATTCGATTCCGGGTATTTTTTGGCATACGTATCGCATATCCAGTGAATGAGTGCGGCCACATAGAATGATTCATTGCGACCGTTGACCTCGGCAGCGGTGACGGCACCATTGAAAAAGAATGTTACATTCGATTCAGCTTTGACGGAGCAATTTTCACCCAAGAAAATGTCCTTGATAATCCGGAACAGCTGTGTTGGTGGCATCACCCGCTTGAAATTGTATTTATTGATGAGTGCATTCATTTTGGTGCGTGTTATTTCATTGGTAATGGCTTCAGTTGAGAATGTTGAATTCTTATACTTGGTCATTATCGATTTGCGTAGCATTTTCAACGAGACAATTGACATCATCATTGCTTCACGGAATTTCTTGCGTGTCGTATCACTTTGATTACTGCCATAGTCCAATTTGAATAGACGTGCATGGATTTTGTCGAGCCTCTTATTTTGAAATTCCATATATCGATCAAAGTTAACGGTATCCACTTCGGAATCGATGCATTGCGGCCGGCTCATCAATTCAGCGTATGATTTCATAATGCTAATAAATTCGGTGACATTTTTCGTGGCACGATCGTCGGGCATGCTGATTCGCATCAGATTAATGGTAAACTGGGAGAAAAATGTGTGAATCGCTTCGACATTGTTGATATCATTATCGGCCCATGCCAATAGCTCACGCGGAATGGGTATTCGACGATAGTTTTTGTGGATAGCTTGCATCACAGCCTGAGAAAGAAAAAAAAACGATTTGTTTCTGGTTATAATCAAGTCCAACAGAAAGAATTTCATTTGGTATTTACTTGTTTGTTAATCGGCTGCTTGGATTGCTGGTTGTCATCAATGGTCAAATGGCCGCCAAAGAAATGTGCATTTGTCGCTTGAAGCATATCGTCCAAATAGTAAAAACAGTGTATCTTCTCTTGCGTGATTGGATGCTGGAAGAATCCCTTGCCGTAATTAATCGATAAATCGGAGAAGATGTCCGTTTTGCCCTCCTCAAAATTGCTGGCCAGTGCTACAACCGGAAATTCAATTTTGTGCAACGCCTCAATCACACTGTTCAACTGTTGCTTGGCTATACGTGTGTCAAAATTAAAATACACCACTTGGCTCCAGTCTTTGTACAGTCCACGGGCAACGATTAAGGTTAAATATTTGTGTGGACCCAGAATGAGATCTAAATGCTCATCATATTCATAGATTTCGGCCGTTTTCACATAGCTGATTTGAAGTATGATCAATTTTTCATGGTTTTGATAAATATGACCATCACACTCAAGCATTTTCAACATTGTGGTCTGCAAACCGCGATCCAATTGAATGTTTCGCACAAATTTGCGCACATCATCGGTGCTAGGCATCGGAATGGAGAATTTCTCCCGCAAATAATTAAATAATGGAATGTTTAACCGTTGCAGGCTGAACGCTTTACACAGTTCAATGTTGGTCCATGACATCGAATTCATGTCAACACTTTGCTCAACCTTATCATTTACCAAGTTTGACATTCTTTGCTTGAGTATGCGGATTTCATCGCCACGTGTTTCAAACAGCTCGAACAGTACACGGTTTCGTTCTTGCAACGCTTGTAGACTCTGCGGCTGTGGTCGTCTCTCTGAAGACGTTGATTCTTGTGGATGAACTGGACCTAAAGTATCTGTACGCAAAAAAAGTCATTTAATTATATTGTGATCGTGCTAAAAATGAGGCGAATAAAATCAACTTACTATTGACTGATTGAGCCAATTGTTGTTCAAGATGCAGGTGATAGTTTTTCGGCTTTCGGCCTCGTTTCTTCTTGAACGGCAGTCCAACAATCGGCACATCGAGACCCTGCATGGAATTCCATCAGTTAATATTTTTTTTATTGTTTTGGTTATGAAAAGGGTGGTGCAAATTGATCGTGAATCAGTCTTACCGGTCGTCGGAAAATCTTTTGCTGTGGTATGATCCTTCGTACGTATGCTCGTTGTACAAACGGTCGCATCGGTGACTTTGGTAAACGTTTTGTTGGCAAGAGGCTCGGCGCTTCAGTGCCCAGTCGACCTTGACTAGTCAAGCTGTCGCCGGTGATATTCGATTGCGTTAATGATGTGCTTTGGTTGTTTTCGGCCGCTTGTTGCAGTTGTAAATTCCAATAATAACTCTTTGGCTTGCGTCCACGTTTCTTCTTTGCTGGCGGTTCACCCGACAAAATACTACTTGCTGTTGTGGAAACGCCAACATCCTGTTCGATGGCATTGTCTGGATCACGTTCTTGTTTCAACGATGCTAAATGTTCATAATAAGCTTTCGGTTTTCGGCCACGTTTGTTTGCATAAATGCTAAAATCAATGGTTTTATTTGCACCAATCGACTGTTCAGCCTGTTCTAAACGTTCAGCCTTAAAACTGCGTTCCAAAATTGCGGGCGCACTTTCATTGGCTCTGTCTATCATTTGCTGCAGATGAAAGGATTTCGGTTTTCGGCCGCGTTTTTTCTTTACAACTTCACCGGGGAGCGTCGATTGATGTCGTGCTAGCTGAGCTTGTTCTTGCTGTAATTCACCTTCATCTTCTTGTTCTTGCTCTTGTTCTTGCTCTTGCTCTTGCTGCTCTAATTTTACAAAATAGTTTTCTAGATATTTTGGTTTGCGGCCGCGTTTCTTCATCTCGACTGACGCTGCATCCGCGTTTGGTGGTATTGACAATTGTTCCATACTTACATTACTCACATCGCTACCATTGTGTGCACCGATGCTAGCACCCGATTCATTTGCACGTGCAGCCATTTCCAAATAATAACTTTTTGGCTTGCGACCGCGCTTCTTCTTCACGGGAAATTCACTTGCGTTCGCACTGTCATCCAATTGTGATGATTCATTGTGCGGCTCCTGATCGCTTTGCGCTGTTGAATTTAGAAAATGTGGATAGCGATTCTTTGGTGGGCGGCCGCGTTTCTTTGGCGAACTGGCATGAAATATGCTGTGTCCCATAGCCATTGAGAAATCATCGACTTGCGAATGCATCGACCGATTTTGTAATCGAATTGCCTCTTTTTGTGCGGCACGTTCGGATTTCTCTTCTTCGGTGAGTGGCGGTCGTCCGCGCTTACGCTTGGCCGGTGCATGTTCATCCAAGCCGTTGCCATTTGTAATGCTACCGTTGCTTGTCACAGCAAATTTTGATTCGTCGGGGCCATCACGTTCCCCGCTTGATTCATCATACGAATCGGAGTCATTGTCTGTGTCTGAATACGGTTCGTTCGAGTGTTCGTAAAATAGATTAGCTGAGGGATTAACACGCAATGAAATATCATCTTCAGGCTTACCAAATTTAAAATTGTTTTTGAAATTTGCTGCCTTTTGCATGTCATTCATAACACCACGCCGTATCAATGAGTCAAGTGACAAGCTAACGGTTTCTTCTTCTTTCTCTGGTTCTTTGTCACCCGAATGGCTTTTGCTGTTGCGCTTCTTTGTGCCAGAACTTTTAGCCGATGGTGTTTCGCTGCCACTGCTGCCACCACCACGCTGTACTCGCTGTAAATGCAATACTTTTGCCCGGGCGTCGGGTAGTGAACTGTCTGAATCTTTGCTGGTTGTGCTGGTGGTGGTGGTGGTAGTCGTACTTGGATTGGATTTTGATGCAGTTTTCGGTGTGACGGCAGTATATGTTTTTTCACGGTCTAAAAATAGCACTTCATTCAATGGTTCCAACAGATTTCCATCGTCGATGTGATCCCCCGAATTCTCATCACTCTCCATTGGATTGTGGTCCATTGAAAATAATTCGGCTCTTTGTCTCTCTATTCACTGCCAATTATTGAATTCTTCACAAACGGAAAATTGACAAAACCTGCAAATGTACAAAGTAATTTGTTTTGGTTTCTTACGATTTTCCTCATTTAAACAATTATTTTCCTCTTGACTTTTCATAATAATTCGTTTTCCATAAAAAAAATGAATAAATTCCACGAATAAAAAAAAAAATATTTGCTTGAAAACTGGAAAAGATGAACGAACGGATGACAATGGAAGAAGAAAAAAAAACCGACTGCCAACAAATATTCGCAAATTATGGAGATGAACACTTTTTACCAATTTAAATCCAATCTAATCAAGCAGTAAAATGTCATGAGCCTAGACAAGAAAAAAAAAATAGTTTAGTGCGACAGTTCAGCGCAATATGGGCAACACAAATCCGATCAATGAATTTGTTTAAAAATGGCAGATATTATATGCAAACTTCTTAAAATTCATAGCTCAGCAACGCCGGTCACAAAATCACACAAAGTGAGAGAGCACAAGCACATACAGCACCACACCGCAAAGGAGCAATAGAAGAAGATGAAGAGAGCAGAAGGAAAAAAAACAACCGAAAACACACACTCACGAAATATTCAATAAATCAACACAATTACATCACAATTTTGTCGTGCCAATCTGTTTAAATTATAAATTATCGTAAATTAAAATGGATTCAGGCAGCGTTTATTTTCTCAAATCAATTCACAACACACAGCCAGGCGGGCAGTCAGCGCGCGCGCCACTCTCAATCTCACTATGTCGGATTTATAAATTCCGGAATCCAGGCCATTTAACAACATGCAAAATTATTTCAAAATTTCCAAAACATTTGATTTTTTTTTTCGAAATTGTTTTCGTTTATCGGTGGTTGGTCGATTGTTTGGTGTGTGTCTGTTCGCTCTCTCTATGTGTGTGTGTGTGTGTGTGTGTGTGTCTGTGTGTATTGTCTTTTTTTGCCCATTTAATCGTTTTTATTAAACCAATATAACTCGCGCAAGTTGGATGAATAATTCTATTTTTTTTTTCACCGTGTTACTTAGATTCATTTATACATTATATTTGTATTGATATTAATGATATATCGTTTCATATTTTATGTTCATCTTATGGCAACAAAAATGTGATTCTAGTTTTCTAAATTGGGAATAACAACAACAACCATTGTATTAAATGAAGAAAAGAAAGACGAAGAAAAAAAAAAGAAATATTATATACGATTTTGTCGCGTCGCACACTCTCCGTTCCATTTTCGCAATATCAAAACGAAAAATAAAAAATTTCAATCGCAAAAAAATAATCCAATGAATAAAAAAACCAATAATTTTGAAATAATAATAAAAAAAAAAATAATGACGATAAACGATAATGTTGTGGCTTACTTATTTCTTTCTTTTTTCCCAATGATTTTGTCGCTGTTGTTCGATGACATCCGTTTACCATGTGCAAATAAAAATGCGATTTTATTTTAACCAAATGCAAATGACTTCGTGAAGTTTTTTTTTCTTCTCCAGCCTTTTGTTTTTATACAAACAAAAATATTTATTAGAAAAATAGAAGCAAGCCAAGCTTCTTTGCGACCATTCCTGTCAATGCATGCACACCAAGCAAAATTACATGTACAAATACATTCAAACAAACACCGTAAAAGAAGTCAAGAGAAAAAGAAAAACACTCTATATAATAAAGTAATAAGAAGAAGTCCGATGGTGTATCGTCATAGAAGCGGCAATCGGTATAACTCTACACTCGGTGGCCCCGTGTCTGTACAGTCGCGCTCACTCGGTTGTCAATGTGAGCGTGCGATCGCAAACAAACCCCGCATATGTATGCATGTCTCAGTATTTATCTCTTGCCGACGAACCGAAAAATGTTTCTCCACACAATACCAAGTCGAAGGATACACACATACTCCGACTCTTAAGTCCCGTTTATATTAGGCACAAGATAGTGGCAGGTAGAAAGAGTGAGAGCACGAGAGAAAGGTAGATGCCCAAACGAAAACTGCTTACATATCCATGCAAATATGGTACATTCAACTGATGCATTCATTAATTGTTTTTTTTTTTCAAAAAAAGTTTTTCCATTTTGCGTGCATTTCGGCATACATTTTTTTGGTCTGCGAGTTGTGGTGATGTTACTGATAGAATGTTAGGTTATATAATAAGCAATGACATTGTCAACATACGACATGACTCACACTTCAGATGAAACACTGCGTGTGTGTGTGCCCACGATCTGTCAAACTCTCTCTCTCTCTCTCTCTCTCTCTCTTTCTCTCTCTCTGTGACTGTAAAAACAATAATAATCACCTCATTTGACTTGCGAGAGTTTTAAATAACAAACAACATTTGTTTTTGTAGTTTTGCATCCCAATCGATTCTTTGATTAAATATTCAGTTCGATTCAATTATTTGATTTATGCCTTCGATATTGATTCATCTTCTTCATGTTTATTTTCGAACAGAAACGACGTGTTATTGTTTATCGATTTAATGTGATAACTTTTATGAAATAAAAAAGAAACATTTGAAAATCCCAAAACTATTGTCAATTGTAAATCGTGCAAAACCAGAGGAGGGAAAAATGTCATCACGAAGCCCAAATTCGCTGCTTTCGACACCGTACGACGAAACATTCGATTATTTATTTAAAATTGTATTGATTGGAGACTGTGGTACAGGGAAAACGTGTGTTGTTCAACGATTCAAAACGGGACAATACGAAGAACGACATGGAAATACAATTGGTGTGGATTTTTCCATGAAGACGGTCAATATCGATGGCAAAAAAATTAAGGTATGTTTACGTTTTATCGAAATTATACGCCCAATTCTCGGTGAATAAATTCATTTTTATTGAGATGTCAATAATTTCCATTCGCTTCTATTCTAGATAACACTGTGGGACACAGCTGATAAGTACCTTTTTAATAGATATTGATTTCGATTGAATAGTGTAAATAAGACCTTTTCAATGACTTATTGTTATCTTTTCATTTATACGACAAGAGAGATTCAGGACAATTACTCAAAGCTACTATCGTTCGGCTAACGGAGTTATTATTGGTAAAATTATAATAGTAAATGTAATACAAATATTGAGCTTAATGACATGATTTTTTTCATTTTCAGTGTACGATATCACAAAGCGATCATCATTTCTGAGCATACAGCGCTGGATCGAGGAAGTTCGACGATACACAACTTCTGATGTTATTCTAATTTTAATTGGAAATAAATGTGATTTGGAGGAAGAACGAGAGGTAAGTAGCATTCATCCATGAAAACTCAACAATTGGGTGTATCCAGCTAAAAATTCTAGACTGACATACTCATAATAACACCCATCATGTCAATATTGGTTCAATACATTGTGCATTTTCTTCTGTTTCCAGGTCGAACTGAGCGAAGCTCAAGCATTGTGTCAATACATCCCCGAAATATCATTTGTAATGGAAACGTCCGCAAAAGAAAATACAAATATCAAAGACATATTCTATTTATTAGCAACCGAACTAATGGTAAGTATTGAGTTTGGCACAAAATTCACAGCGGATGGGTGAGTGTGAGACACATGCATTAGATTAATAAATCAAATCTATTCGAACAGCAACGGCAGTCAAATTTAACGGCAGAAGAAGATGTAAACCAGCCAAGCATCACAATAACCGAAGGACAACCGGTAAGCAGTTGTTCTGGATGCAAGTTTCTGTGATAAACCAAATAGCGAACAAAATAAAACGAGAGCTTCAAATACTATTCGGCACAAAACTACTTCCAAGGCGGCGCACGAACCGGATACAACTCGAATACCGTCGTCAGTGTAGTCAAACAATATCTACCTAGGACAAATCGGAAACCAATTCGATCAATACCTACTTCATGTTCATGGAAAAAGGCGCTTTAAATAACATATAAAATAACAACCTTATGATTTACTCTACGTCAATTCTAGGCGTAACCATTTGACGTATTCGTATGATTTAAATTATACCGGATTGTATGTGATTTTTGTTTGTCTTATTTTGGAATTTTGTATTTGTGTTTTTTTTTCTAGCATTTAATTTTTGACATGTCGTCACAAGCGAACGAAAAAAAAAACAAGAGAACAAAATCAATTGTAACGAGCCAATAATAATTTGTATAAATACCCTAAATGCAATAATAAACGATCACATTAATTAACGAATTGGATTTTCCCATTTTTCCATCGACGAACATTCTCTTTTTCATGTCGCTCAAAGTGATTTGCATGTTTTTAATTTGCTGGTTTCACTGGTGTTACGAGTCTATTATACAACATGGAAATACGGTGAAATCAAAACTGAGATTAATGATTTATTGCAAGGGAAGGAAATAGTAACTACCCCAAATATAATCATCGGGTTAAATTTAAATGCCCTAAAATTCGATCGCATTGCAATTCGTTTAAAACAGGAAAACGAAACCGATCAATCAATATTGGACGATGAACTTGAATCATTTGGACTGAGAATGGCTTTCAAGGGAAATTGTTAATTTCAAATGCGGCCAAAGATTCTATAGCGAAGTTCGTCAAAAAAAATATGTTTGAAGACTGTGCCCCTGCAAAAGTTCTAATTTCTATCCATTTTGGTAATCGTAGCTCAGAGGCAATCGCTATAAAAACTTACGCTATTATGAATTCATTTGAAATGTATAATTTGTCAACCGAATTGAATTCTACAGTCTGGTTTTCACGACGGTTGGCTCGTGCAAGTTTTTCCAATTCATACGCATAGATGACGTCGGCTTTTTTTGGTCCAATCCAATTGTAAGGTTTTCTTTTAATAATTTCTCCTCTTCACCTCTTGCTGTGAAATATCTTATAGTGGTTAATATCAAAATTTGGTAAACGCCGGAGGAGAGTTCTATTTCAATGTGCTTTATTGAGTCAAGTTCGAATGAGACTGAGTGGATGCGCATGGCATTGCGACTAATTAGGCTAATCCCGCAATTAGTCGCAATGTGAGCGCATGTATAGTCGGAGAGTACATGCATATGTGTATGATAAATACATAGGTGCATGCGCTCTCCGGCTATAATCTCAATAGTAATGCTCGAAAGATGCTGTGCGGTGAGAAAAATAAAGTTTTGTTCGGTTGGACCTTTCGAAATGCATGAAGGAGGCTGACACAAAATTTCCATTGTCCGTAATATAATTTTTCGACTGAAACTTGAACTGTATCACTTCTTGTGATATATGGCAACCAAAACAAAGGCGAAAATACCGCCAATACAGCAATAATAATTGCTTTATTTATTTTGCTTTAAAATAGAGGAGAAAATTTTTTTGATTTTTTTTTCTTATTCTGTTAATGTTGATATATGAAAAGACAAAATGCAACTGACTACCAAATAAAAAAGGCTTACTTTTAGCTCACCTGGTCCAGTTAAATTCGTTAGCCGAAAACGCTTGCTAATTTTGTTATGCTTCCGCATGAGGATTATTGCATTATGAAAAAATACCTCAAAATTCAAATTTTAGAAAACTCTCTCCATTTGTACAGTATTTACATAAGAATGGAGACGGTTTTTCTTCCTTCTGTCTGTCATTATAAACTAACTCACTGTACTCGGGTTCTTTCCCAAACAATTGGAGAACTAAAAAAGTTCAATTTGGCGTGATGCATCGTAATAAACTATATATATATATAATGTACTGTTTGAGGGTAACATTTGGATGCAGATAGATTTTTTTTAGATATGACGCTTGCAAAAATCTACTTGATTTCTTCAGAGTAGTTGAGCGATTTTGTACTTTTAATCCGAAATATGTCTGTGTGTAACTGAGAAAAGTGTTTGTTTGACTACATTAACTTGACAAGTATATAAGCAGAACTATGAGAAGCAACAAACACCCGAACTTACATTAGCATCGATTTCACTTGAGCAGCGATTAATTTTGTTTCGAAAGAGTCGTGCTTTTTTGTGTTTTGAGAGATTTAATGAATCAGTCAATATACCAACAATTATTCGATTCAACATTACATTTCGTCGATGATGAATATGAAGACAACAGTGACAACGATAACGGCAGCAGAAGCGATGGCAGTAGCATCAACAACAAAGTACCGAGACAATCGACCAACACCAAAAGTATATATTTTTATTGTTATTTTTATTTTCCTTTGTCCTGCAAGTAATAAATGCGAAAGGTAGAAAGAGAGAGGAGCCACAACGTTCTCTGTGTTTGTTTATATGCTGTGAGAATGCGATGAGGCACGTGTATGAGTGTACAAAAATGTAGACGTTCAAAAATGTAAAATAAAATAGCTACGAAACTTGAAATATTGATGTGAATGTGGATAAAAAAAATGCAATATACGAATGTTTGCGCTACGAAAAGAAAAGGATTACGAATAATTTAATTTGTTGTTCATGTTGAAAATAGGGAATAGACGCATAGAAGAAGAAACGATTTAAATGGAAATAAAACATTTCAAACTAGGCCCAACTGATCGAATTAGGATTAAATATGGAATATGAACAGTGCACATTGTGGCGTCCTTTAATCACTTTTATGTCCACAATTCAAACGAACAATTTCTGGATGAATAAATTCAAAGCTAGCTACTATTTAAACCGCTTATGAAAATTGATAGCAATGTTATTGTTGTTCTGAAGAAATAAATAAGTACCAAGGTAAAACTGCATCGCAATGCATTAATACAGGATCGACCAGAATAACTCTCACTTACATTTTTGGTTTAGACACATTTTCCAATATAATTGTGCACTATTTCCAACATGCAACGTAATTTTTTCAACATCGAGTCTGTTTGCAAGATTATCTCTACAACACAGATAAATTAACCAAGCCAATTACTGCGAAAATGATCTCTTGATCAGTCACATTTAGAAGATATATATGTTTGTGGCGCCAGAATCAAGTACTCACCAGTTCAAGTTCATTGTTCAACTCCAAGAATATCAATCAATTTCATTCGAAAGCAATATTCATTGAGATTCACCGCGCACACACAACGCCACACACAGAAGAAGAGGAAGACAACAGCGTGTGCAATACGCTTTAAACGACGCTCGAGCATTATCGCTCTCTGCGATTTCCTTTTGCCATTTGCGGGGTTTGTTGATATTCTCGTGCAAAACACGAAAATGAATCGACAACGATGGCGAAGTAACAACAAAAGAACAATAAAAGCCAGCGGATATGTGACATAAAAGTTTGCTCAGAAATCGTTGATCGTGAGCGAGCGCACGCACATGCACGCTTGCAAATACACTCTTTACCTATTCCATGCCGAAAGATGATTTGATATTTCAGCAGCGATGGTTCACCGTTTCTACCTTAGTTCCACATCGACCGTCGCAATGCTCGGTTTAACCGTTTCTTATTTTGCTGTGCGCACATAACAATCGATATATCAATTCCGAGCGAGCGAGCATATGCAGAATTTTCCATTCAATTTTTCGCATAGCAATTGAAAATGAGGATCAGTTGAGAAAAAAAAGAGTTGAGTTTCGTTTTTCGAGTGATTTCGTTGCGTTCAAATGATTTACATGTAATAATCAAAATAACAGACAAGAACAGTGATAAAAGAACCATTTTTCGGAAGAACAATTTGTGCACATGAATGATAACTTCGTTTTACTGACTAATTTCTACTAATTGTGTGAGAAAAGTTTACAAATGAAATAAATCAACTCTAAATTTTGATAAGTTCACGACACAGGCGATAATTTGTGGATTTACTTCTGTCACCCATACAATAGATCAATAGTAAGTGCAATTAAACCATTTCCGTTACATTCTAAATAAGGATTTGAAGATGATTTTGAATTCAAGTCACACTGCAAACAGTTCTTTTTTCAATGAATTAATTTCTTGCCGCTTTTTTTTTCAAGAAGAATTCTGCTCATGGTCCAATAAAATTACAGCAGCAAAAAACGGATCACAAAAAGCTTACTTTCATATTTTAAATGCGGCATTCTCTTGAAATCCAATTGATTCCAATGTAATGACGAGCCATAATTTGGTTAAACGTTCGAAGGGAAGCAAATCATAGAAAAGCCAAAAAGAATTCCGCTAAATTGTTTTCGTGCGTAGCATTTGTCTTTTGCCCGGTCATTTAATGGGTTCTTAACAAGATTCCGACAGCAACAGAAAAAAAGTGAATGAAGTGTATTTTTTTTTCTTTCTTCTTTGGAACAATACTTGTTTGCATTCAAATGAGGCGTTTGCTAATTACTGCTACCAGTAGCATCATATGTCGCAAAGAAAAAGAAGGAGAAAAAAGTGTTTGCAAAGATTGAAATTGGCCATATAGTATGTTTGAATAGTCTTTCCATTTCTAATTGTAATTGACCCAAAAAGACCGAACATGTGATGAAGCTATGGCTACGGTGAGATAGCGAGTATCTGCCGTTTGATCCGTTCGTGTGTCGTTAAAAAAAATAAGTAAAAAAAAACGAATCAGAATTTACGAAGAAAAAGTAAAAGATGCATGACGGCAAACACATACGAAGAGTAAAAAGTGTTTGTAAGCGAAGAGATGCGAGCAAGTAAACGGAATGGATTAGAACCGGATTGGTTTTTATGCGCGGCGCAAAATAGAATCAACAAATGGCTTTGCTTCAACACTTGTCGCAATTATTCTCATGTACTTTGCCACTTCAATTGTTTAATGTGATTTTCTCCATTTGTACGGCCATTTGAACGATTCTTATGCGGCATAATGAAAGGGGAAGTTTTGATCATCACTTTTTGTTTTGGTTGTAGACGAAAAAGCCGTGTGTGTATAAATGTTATTTAAATGAGAGATGGTAGACGAGTTTTAATCTTCATTTTCATTTGATGATGTCTTCAAGTTTGAGCATTTCGATCTCTTGGTCTGAAGCCGATGCTTCATATCGCTTGAGCTAAGGTATTTGCGTACGGATTCGGATGAAATGCAAGAAATGGCACGCCCGAGGCTAACCATTTACGAACAATTGCTGTGAAAATGAAGCAAAAAATGTGCACTTGTGTGATTTAAAGATCGATGACAATGCGCAACAAAGAAAAAAAAAGTCAATTAAACAATGGAACAAAATTCTAGTCGAAATATTGTAGGGAAAAAAAATTCTTTGCCACAATTGACGGCCTGAAAAAAAAACCTTTCCTACAAAACCTGTGCGCAGAAGACAAACACAGAAATTTTTTAGTCAAAAGGCGAACAGCAAATTTGCGAGCGCAAAAACCTAATATATTTACAGCGAGCGCAAAAGCATAACAGGCCTACTTATACGGAGTTTGCATGCTAGTAGGCTTGTTATACTTTTGCGCTCGCTGTAAATATATTAGGTTTTTACGCTCGCAAATTTGCTGTTCGCTTTTTGACTAAAAAATTTCTGTGTTTGTGTTCTGCGCACAGGTTTTGTAGGAAAGGTTTTTCTTCTCAGGCCGTCAATTCAGAAGCGAAGTAAAGTGATAAAACTATTTTAGTTATACGTATGTGGTTAACTATGTCTATGCAACAATAAAAGTTTATATATTGGTCGCTTGTGTGAGTTATCACAATGTTCTGATTGCGTTTCGACGATGTGACAATCGTCTGAAGAGTTCGGCTAATAAGAATTTAATTGCCATCAATGCTTTGTCTCAGAAGAATCTTTGCGGTTGTTAGACAATGTGACATCGTTAATGGGATAACGTCAGTTGCACATTTCGCATATCCCACAATAAACACTTTCTAGCCGAACGACAAAACAAACCAATACGAAAGAAAACAACGTCGACGACGACAGCATGACTTTGATTCAAGCTTCTGTTGCTATCGAAACGGTGTTTGATGCACGTTTTTCTGTTGTTAAATTCCCATTTTCTATATTATTAATATTCGGAAGCGGTTTGTGGTGTGTGACACACTGTAATATAATTGCGCATTGTTTTGTTTTTGCTCAACACCGTACACACACATTCTCTTCCATATATTGGCTCCAAAGCGTAGAAATTCCGAATTTGTTTTTCTACTCGTCTTTCTCTCTGCCAACCTACCGAGCTGTTTCGGTGTACACCATTTGTTCGATGGTTGGTTTTTCGAGAGAACCTACTTGAATTTATTTGTCGGCTTGAAACTATCACGCACAATTTATTGCCATTGTCTGCATACGAATGATTGTCATCGATCTATACACGTCGAGGCGGGGGTGATAGATCCAAGAAATATTAGCACTTTAATTGCATTTCGATGAGTTAAATTCGAAAAGCGAAATGAATCCAACTTAACCGTAACTCGATCGAAAATTGGAAATCGAAACAAAGACACTTGCGCATGCTTCGATCGTTGTTTTTTTTTCGTCGTCTTCAATTTTATTGGCAGAAATGGCATTCCATATCTCTTCAACAAATCGGAACAATTGGATAGATTTCGCACTTTCATCGTCGATCACACACACACACCACAAAACAATGGCTGACGAATAAAACCATCGAAATTATTGAATGTAACCATTGAACGTTAGTTTATTTAGAATCAATAATTCGTGAGTGACATACTAAAACAAAGACAAACCACTTTTTTTTAACACATAGTGCATCTGCTCGGAATAATTCATGAATTCCACTAGTTCAACGGCTACACAATTTTTTTTTTAGACAAATTAGAATAACGACCAATTAAATTTGTTTTCTATTAACTGTTTGAGAATACATAAATGGCCGTGTGCAGCATAGTGAAGCAAGCGGCAAAATGCGAAAAGTGAAACGAATTTGTGAAATAGAGAACATGAGAATCATTCTGGTGGTAATCATACTTTGGAAATGAGAATAAATCGTAGTGTACAATTGAAATACATAAATCAATATCCATTCATATGTGGATTCAAGCGCGTAACAAAAATCTATCTCTCTAACGGAATCAAACATCAGCCGTCCATTCATTTTTCCTTTTCTGCCATCGGCGCGTACACGAGTCACAATTGAAATATTTTATTGGTCGTTTATTTTGCTCATGACACGATCATGACCTAGTCTTTCACGGCTACAATAATTTCTAATTCTCGTTTTTTTTTCTCCCCAAACTGAAAGTAAAGCTATCTAGAATCGCATACAGTGCAGTTTTTTTTTAAACATTGTTCATGTCTGTGTCACTGTGTTCTCATCCTCGCAATAACAACAACGAAAAAAAAATCGAAAGAGAGAGAAATGAGCAGGCATGAGAGCCATTCGATTGCATTCGGCCAGATTTCAAATAGTAAACAAATGTTGCACAGCACCAACCGTTAAACCTGTTCGAGTTGCGTTCTTTTTAAATGCCTCTTCGATGCCTCTTCGTTCCGCGGAAACACGCTTCGTTTATCATGGGCAATTGAACCAGTATGAAAGTAAACATTGAACCATAGAAAAGAAAATTCTCTCAGAGAATTTCTCTGTGTACCATTGATAGTGATGCGATCCATTGACTTTGTTCCGAGGTAAACAGCAGCTGCATCGAGAACATAGGCTGCAAACGAAAGAAAAAACTTAGATGGAATCGATGATATGCCGCTGATACTTCCAACTGGCATTCAGGCACAAAAGAGCATAGGCGATGCTGCATCGCTTGAACTTCAGGCCAACGAGAAAAAAAAGACTCGAAAAGAAATTGAAAGAGATTTTAAATATGCGAAAATGCTTGCCTCCGGGCGATCTCATTTACATCAATACATTTAGTCATGTTCAACAACGACAAAAATAACACTGAATACCGTTAATTCTCTTTAAATTCGTATTCGTAAATTGGGTAAAATTGTACAATGTCTTTTATATTGTCTAGGCTTTATCGTGTATTGAATTCCAATGATGGAATCGAAGTGCATTGAATCGAATATCATGTCCCCAGAGAAAACGAATTCACCAATGTCAACGAGAGATACATTGTAAATGGAATATTTCGTTTTTATTCTAGGTTAGTAAATAAATTTCCGCCGTTTATTGGACGGTTAAAGTGTTTTCAAGTGGATCTTTTGAGGCCATTCCATTTTTTATTTTCAATTCGATCAAAGAGAAAATCCATCTTCACTTTTCATAGCAATGCTATATACTAGAGAGATAAATAACAAAATGTTGCGAATCTTAATCATTCAAAGCATTTGCCCATAAAACGTTCATTCACATTATTTTAGTCATAAATTTTGCGAAATTTTAGCAATGGGTGCATGCGACCGGGGTTCATAATGTATACGCACATAATTTAAATTAGCATAAACAGCACGCACCGCATTTACATGAGAGCGTAAAGCATACAAAACGACGACGACGACGACGACGACGACGACGACGACGACATCGGACCGACCGCAACATAAAAACCTGTATTCCGCAATTTAACATAAAACTATTTATCAATTATCCACGTAAAATGATTTATGAGAAATCACGATGTTTGTGTAGTGAAACTGCATGCGAGCCTTGCATTACGTGATCTCGGTTTATGTTCCGCATTTGCATAGAGAGCAAAGAAGGAAAAGAGATGTGAACGATGTCACTGAATTTTGTGCTTGGTTTTTGTTGTTGTTCGGTCGGTCGGTCGCTGGCAAACGAAATTAGAGCTCCGGCGCTCAATCAATATTATGCCATCGATGAAAATGAGAAGCAAACTCTTTGACACTGATCATTGATGACACACTTTGCCACACTGTGCCAGCAAAAAAAAAGTCGGTTACCAAAAATATCGTCTGATGAATATCGTGCGAGACATATCAACAAATCTGATGCAAAATTCCAGTGCAATCGATTATGATGTAATGTAAAAATGTAACGGTAAAACAGGCCCCAAAAATGTGTGATCAATATAAGGTATGCTCAGTTTTTTTTTGCTTTCTGCTCCTGATGCGTTACAGTTTTTTCTTCTGTGTCAAGTGTATTTTTGCGCATTTTCTTTCGTCTCGAATTCGTAATGATTCGTCTTCGTTCAATTGGATGTGAGACGATCGGCTCCTTGTTACTTACTGCATGCGTCCAGTGAAATCGATTATTGAAATGTAATTCGTTTCCAAGAATCATTTAAGAAATTTGTGTTTTGAGAACACCGAAATCCCTAAACTGCACACGCCTCACTTCTCAAACATGTTTGCGTTCTCGTTAAAAAGTGATTTCGCATGTGAAATTGCGATGTACTACACACGAAAAAAAAGCATTGCACCAACGAAGAGTTAGCCAAATGCAAAACTAATCAAACCTGTTACGCGCAACATACTATCGACAATCGAACGATATGTTTGCCAGGGTAAAAGGAGTTGAAAAGAGAGAAAATGTGTATGCACATTAATTAGTGAAGAAGATTAGCGATTTGTGAATCAAAAATCGAGGACAATAAATTGACGAGCGTAGAAATATGTGATTCGTTTCGATTCCACTCACAAAGGAAGTAGTCATTGGAAAAGATGTTACTGTGTCAACTTGTCATATGCGTCCAACAAAATTTCGAATGGCCAGCGCCAGATATTGATGCAACGTGCAAAACGTCATTCAATCGATGACTCTCAAATAAATTTCATCAATTTTGCTGACGTTAAAAGCCTACTTTTGTTAGACTTTTCTACTGTTGGACGAGAATTTTACAGTTTTCAACGAAAATTATGCAAATAATCCGTGCCACAGCCAATGACGTCGAATATGCTGCGATATGTCTGTTTATGTGATGCTCAGATTTCTCTCATTTGAATTCTATACCGCGATATATTACGTATCGACCGTACATTTATTGTCACTGGCTAATCCATCGGATGCGTGAGTGCGTGCATACCTGCACAAATGTAAACATTAGTTTTACGATTGTAATTAGAAAATTGGCCAAATCGTCGGCGAAGAAACATCATATCGCGCACTTCGGAAGTGATTTACTTTTGAATACAACACACCGTGCCGCACATCGTTAGAAATCAAATGGCGGGATTTTCTTATTTCGATTACTGCGTGACGCACAGACACAGATGAACACTCGAATCGATTGGAATCCATTCTAATTACGAATTAGAAACTTCTTTTTATCACATTCATATAATGTGCACTGATTTATGGATACCATAAAAAATTCACTTCCAGTTGAAACAGGCGGACAGTGCCTTTTTCTGCCCGATGCACCAAACGATGTGCATCGATTTCAGCGATGTGCACGCACGGCGCAAATTCATTTATGCATTGTTTCTCTCTATCTCTCATCCGTATCAACGGCAAATCATCGCACCAGTTCCCTAGATTTTTTTTCTCCACTCACGTCTCCATCTCTGGCCATGTGCGAGCATTTCATTTCTCTTTGGCAAAAATGTGCACAGAACAAACAACACAGTCTTTACAGTGAACTGCTTGTGTTTTTTCTTGTTGTCGTTGTTGTTTTTGCTCGGCGCAACAGTAGGTGCAACCACTTCTACTCGTCAAAAGTTGATTCTGATGACTTTACAAACGGTTATTATTAGATGATGCGCATTGCTTTCATCGCCCATTATTATTTCTATGTTCATTTCTATTTCATTTCGCGTACACGTTCTTTTTTCTTCTTCTTCGACATTGCAACTGGTGAATCGGTACTGGTAATAGCAGAAAACAATTGACCATAATGATCGAAACATATGAGACGAAGCCAGATTTGAGAAGAAAAAAATAGCAACGTACACGCGATCCAATGCGAATAATTGCTTTGTGAAAACATGTCTCCATCAAATATGCAAAGAAAATTCTTCTTCTATAAATGGGTACGAAGCAACAACAACAAAACGGCCGTTTTGGTGACCCACCATATATTCACCGAGACTCATAAAAAGCACTAACAAAGCGATATACTAATTTCCGTATTCCCATTTGCAGATTTGGGTGCAAGGAACTTGATCTAGAAAACGGCGCAAACGTTAAGAAACGGAAAAAACACAAGCGAAAAATTTCGTGTTTGTACCATGGAAGTGTTTGGTTTATGGCTAAAAGCCATCGTGACCATTGTGATAATTTCGATTGTATCGAGTCAAAGTATACAGCAATCGAACGATCATAGCTCGAAAAAAACACATCTTGAAATCAATCAACAATTTGTTAGTAGGACAAAACAAAATAATTCCAATGCGATTAGTGGTAACGCGAATTTAAATAGTGTGCCGGAGACACAGTCAAACTCAGACGACTCAAACACAGCTAATGATGCAAATAAACCACATTCGAGAAAAAAGCGATTGATTTGGATCACAGACGATGGACGACTTGCATTACCACCAGGCACTGTACTCAGTATAACGCCTACCCTGTCATTACCATTGGTTCGGTACCCACTTGAAGGATTCCTGTCGAATATGACAATGAGCTTTCCACTTACCATTGACTTCGACAAATTGGGCCTCACTGACAACGAAAATCCGTTGGGCGTTTTACCACCAATTTTTGCACGCAAAATGGGACGGGCTGCTGGCTCTGTTTTGGGTAACTAAACATTTTAACCGTCTTTTCTCAATATTTTAGCCATTTTTTTTTTAAATATTCTACATATTTTTGTATATTATTTTGCCATATGTAATTTCGAGTTTTCTCAAAATAAACTTTTGATTTCATTAATCATTCTCATCTTCTCCAATAATCTTCCAGCTGATTACATTGGATCGTATCTAACGTCGCGTAAAACTCGTTCGTTATCTGAACAAGAAGGTGAAGATTTCATGACAATTACATCGAATAAAGCGCCAACGTTGCCCGAACAACACAAGCATGCTTTCCATGGTGGTGAACGGGCAATTCTATACGGCATTGCCGAAGATTTACTTTCGACATTCGGAGTCGACGGCAAAGCGTGCATCCTGAGAACAATTTGCGAGATTCATTCGAAAAAGACGATCGATCATTTGGGATTTTTGGGTGAAGTTGCCAAATTATTTTTCACGTATGTTTTGAGTATTATCATTTTTTTAATGCTAACTTTTTTACGTCTTTGTCCATTGATTACCAACTGCTTCATATTGTTACTTTTTCCCATTTTCAGTGCTACCAAATCAAATTATTCACATTTGCTGTCGGAATATGTACGGGCGCAGCAAGTGGGTGAGGGTAAAATTGGTCCGGGTGAATGTTTTCCATACTATAAAAAGTGTCCGAAAAGTATATTCAAGAGTGGACGAGAAGCCAGTAAATATAGGTAACCAATCCAACTGTTCCGATTCATAAATTTTCCTATTAACAATTTGTTGCTCTCGTTTCAGCCATATTTTATCCGATACAGAGTCCGAAATAGACAAAAATGAAATAGATTTCGTGGATGATGCTGAAAATGAGCTCAGTCGTTTGAATGAAAGCAAAGATGCGGCCCAGTCAATGTTCAATATGTAAATTTCAGTGCGGTGTTCAGTTGTATTGAAGACAACCAACCATTCGTTAATAAATGTATAAGAAACGTGTGTTTTATTTCTCTCGTCAACCAAATGTAAAACGAAAATTGCATAAAATCTCTAGGTTCATCGATTCATTGGTGTATGCAAAAAAAAAATTCGATGCAAAAAGCAACATATTTATTTATTTCTAGTCGTTTAGGATGTTTGACGATCAATGTTTGACCATTTAACAGCCTAAGATAAAGATTATTTTGCTCAATGCAACGATTCGAAATATTTAGCGGCCAAAAACACACTCTTTAATCCATAACGATTTGTGCATTTGCTTCGAACGTACTGATTAACAAGGCCTCATTTCAAATGTTATCCATTCGGTTAAAAGTGAATTGAAGTCAATTAGACAAATTTTTCTATCCGCCCCTTGAATGCATTACCTTAATTAATATGCATGAATCTCCTGTATGAGGCCTTGTTAATAAGCTAATTGAGATGCAATAATTTTTATTTATTTCGTCGAGAGATTGCAATTTAGTTCATAAATTTGTATGAGTTAGGTTTCAATTGTGCGCCAGAACAGGTTTTTTTAGTATAATACATGTATTTTTGTATATATGTACTTATTTGTGTTAATTTAACGAAATCGATTCGGCATCGAATTACGTTGGTAATAGTTCAACAATGGTAGCAACTAAATTAGAAGAAAAAATGTGTGGCATATTACGAATTTCAAATAAAAATCAATAGACAAGTAGAAAATGCTGTTTCCCTATTGTTATTTATGTGATGCGTTTGCCGAAAATCGGTTTAAAATTTAAATCGGATTTGGTAAAAATAGTAACGATCTAATATACGCTGCCATCGTATCACAATTTGCCAATAAGACGGAACAGGGTTTGTGTCTTGGATGTGTAGTACACATTGTGTACAATTGACTCTCTTGACATACATTCACCGATTCTACAAACACAAACAAACATACACACACATACGCAAACGCGTAACCAACTGTCAAATTGTTTTCCATTGATTTGTGTGTGTGTACACATCGATAGAGTTGTCTTTCTAAATGCTGTGACAGTCGATAAAGAAATTTAATTATACTTTTTGTTTTAATAGATTTTTGTTTCGAAAAACAGGAACATTTTGTTTGTTTAGTTTCATTTTGGTTCAATTGGTTTCTCTTCCATTTCTGTTGATTCAATTTGTTCGGCACGAAATGACATGACAATGCGATGTATTCCATTGTTGACTGATATTTTGAAACGCGCAAATTAAAATCACGCTAAAAAAAACAATATTTTGAACACTCATAAATGTGCATTTGACATTCGCTTTGGTTCGATAATTGAAGTAGACAAATAAACTAGATATCAATTATTGTTATTTGCAAAAGGAATTTGTATGCTGAATTGTAGGTGGGATTCGGTCTGTGTGTCTAGTAAATTGTCCATTTTATCTACACAACTCAACAAAGAAGCGAAAACATTCATTTGGGATAGAACATTTATCGCAAGCAACAACAACAACAACAACAACAACAAAAACAACAACAGCAGCAGCACCGACAAAACGAACAAGCAACCAACCTCAAGCGATATTTTAATAGCTAGTGCATATAATAAAAAAAATATATAGCTAATCGGCATTGTGTGCATGTAAAAATGGCTGAAAATGATTTGTTAAGACATAACAGTAATACACCCAGTGATGATTCCGATCATGATACAAATTCAAATAATTCCGTTCCCGAATTGAAAGGATACCTCAGCAAATGGACCAACTATATTCACGGATGGCAGCCACGTTTCATTGTTCTGAAAGATGGCACATTGTCCTATTATAAAAGGTAAACGATTTGATCGCCGCTTGTTATTTATAGCTCTAGTGAGAAAAAAAAAACTCCTTTATAAATCTTATTCACGTCCGTTTCAATTCACAGTGAGTTCGAAAGTGACTATGGATGCCGAGGAGTTATCAGCCTGGATAAAGCCACTATCAAAGTAAGTTGCCCTCCCATGTCACAATGCGACGATAAAATCATTAAGGATTTATTTTTTCCTCGTTTAAAATTGAAAAATTTCCAGAGCCATGAGTTCGATGAATGCCGCTTCGATGTGTCTGTAAATAATTGTGTGTGGTATCTACGCGCCGAAACTCTCGAAGACAAAACGCACTGGGTTGATGTGTTGCAATCGTATAAAGTGCCGGTGGGCATTGATATGACTGCATTGATGCGTCATGGCAGTACGATTTCGTTACAATCAAATTCCATAATATTCAATCAAAACTCAGGTAATAGCGGTCTAAAGGAGAAAATCAACGAAATTGAAACATTTAGAGACATTTTATCAGGGCAAATCAATACATTGCAACGGTAAGCATTGAACATTTTTCGGAACAACGTCATTGTTTTCCAACTAAATGACTGGTCATTTTGTCCACACAGTTATTACGATGTTTGTGCTAGCAAAAGAAAGCCTAATAGTTCCGATTTGCCGAGTGACTTGAATTCGATCGATTTAAAAGTATGTGACCAATTGCCCTTCGGCAAGTGTAATGAGAATAATAAATTCGATAACAAAAATGTCAATTTTTTCATCAAACAGGGCGAATCGCTCACATTTCGGGCAACCTCTCAAACCATTTTGGCAACATTAAATCAATGTTTGGACATAATAAACCAAAGAGAAGAATATTTAAAGAAGAAAATGGAGACGGAAATTGAACGACGACGACAATCCGAAGAATTATGCAAGTAAGTAATCATAAGTTGTTCATTACTTCCGCAAATGGATTAATCAGAGCTCTTCATACATTACGCTTATCTCACACTTCTGTCTCACATTGAAATCGTTTTTTTCTCTTTTATTCCGTAGAAAACTTAAAGATGAATTGAGTAAAACAAAGAGTCCCGCATTTTTCGGTCCTGATTCAGAAGTGAGTACATGTTGAACATGCATTTTAAATTGGTAAATACACCGAAAGCAGCAACAATAAATACGAGACAATACTCCCTCTAGTTTTGAAAAAGTCTACAATTCGACGCCAAATACATGTCTAAAAGTCAATTCAAAAAGTTGAATCACGTTCATGAATCATGTCTATTCATATATATCTTAATTGATGTGTGCTTGTGTTATACGTATATTTGCTTTGTGAAGTGAACGTTGTCTCGAGCATTGTTATCATTAGTGCATCGATGTGCGTATGAAAATGAAAGAAGCAAATGGAATGAATGAACATATTTGTTTGAATTGATATGATGTGTGAATATTGTGCACATAAAATGGTCATTTGGGATAGCGAGAGATGGAGAGAGAGAGAGAGAGCGAGAGAGAGAGTTCGCTGGTGGGGGAGAGAGAGTGTTTTGCGAAAGTAACCGACTCAAGGACAAAACAATCATCAAACACACATATAATGCTTTCGAATGGGAGAGACGAACGAATAAACGATACTATGAACTGCTTGAGTTCAAATTACGAAGTTTGTGTACGATTGCATACGCGTGCAATCACATTGAATAACCGATGGATGAGAGTCACAAAAATACGCGACATTTCACATAAATCTCTTTTTCGATGTGATATGCAAATTGTTGTGTTTCGATGTGATATGCACGTCACCATTAGAGTGTTTGTCATTTCTCAATCACACATTCTAGGAATGCTGTTCATTTGCCTGCGACACTTGTTTCATCTATAGTTTCTTCATTTAAAAATCATGTTCACGAATATTCGTCGTTTAAAGGTTCCAGCACTTGTTTAATGATAATGACAATTGATCGAATATAAGGGAACGAAACCTGCTCTGAAACACGTGAATTGTGCACAAGTGACCTGTTCCTTTGCCCTATCAATCTAGACTCGTTCTATAACGAATAATACAATAACATATTATCAATTGGTATCGGAAAGTACCAGCCAGTTTGGTGATATATATACATTTCTTATCATTCGATAGCATTAATTATGCAATAAAGAAATTTACTTCGATTTTTGTCTTTTCCCATTGTGTTATGATGAACATGCTCGCGCGTCATTCAACGCAACCTTTTATTCTTTGTCCGAGGTACAGAAAATTTTCGTTCCAATTGGAACATTCGACAAGTTGGTTTGTCATCAAGCCGAGTCTCTACAGCCCAAGAAAACCATCATCATACGTGAGTTTCTGATAAAAATCGTTCTAAATAAGATTGACTTCAGAAAATGTGTCATTTCGGTATGCGATGTGTGTCAAGACTAATGATTAAGCCAACAAAAGAGTTCCAAAAAATTGAAATTGTTTATGACACCAACACACATAAATGTCAGAAACATTGTCTTTGTTATGTCTTTTAGGTCGTTGAGCTTACCGCTTTGTATGCACCTTAGTTGATTGTGCATCTATTTTCCGATTCAAACAGGTAAACAAGTAAAAACATTTCGCTGGGTCAATGATCAATGATTTAGTCAATGAATTGTGTCTATTGATAGAAGTGAGATAGAAGAAAAAAAAAACTCGTCCAAGGTGTATGGCGTCAACAAACCTTTTCATATCAGTCGAGAAATTTCGAGAATATATTAAGAAATTCGTTTGGAAAAAACGAAATTATTGCGTAAAAAAACAGTTAAGCAAAAGTGTAATTAATGCGTCGAAGCTTTTGTTTGGTGTTTATGATGATGATCGCGGGTAGATCAACGGTGTACCTCTTTTACACCATAATTGACCATTTCAAAATCAAGTTTGAACGAAGATATTTTGTAATGCTGCTTCATTATAATCTGTGCTCGGGTCTTTTCCTCACGTATTTTCCATATCTAAATAATCCAAACATTTCAATAGAATGAATACATTCACTTTGACATTGAATGTCTTTGCTGCTCATTTTTTTCTCGCTCATCAAACTTTCTTTGTTTGGTTTTGCCCACAGTAGACATCGACAAAAAAAAAACAGTGTCATTTGTAAAATTCGTTGTGAAAACGTGAAAATGAACATTTTCATGGACTTTTAATTCTCGAACACATTTTTCCATCAAACTCGCTCCATTTTCGTTTTTACTTGCAACCGAAATAAGTTCGGTTTCGTGCTTATAATTGTGGTATACATCGAAATTTCACTTTCGACAACGCGACAAGACAGAATTATTATCAGTGACCTACGAGGGTTACAATGGCCATGATATAGTAATGTAAACAACAAACGCAGAATAAAAACGTGGAAGTAAGTTAAGCCGACGAATAAAGGTGCCCGCTTTATAACAATTAACGGAAAATAATAAAAAATGTTATCGATTGAAGACCATCATCACCACCTATTGAATACAATGTAATGCGGAACTGTTATTATGGCTGATGAAACTTGATGGAATTGATGGCCAATTTCTTTTCAATCGATTGAAAACTATGGTTTTTGGTTAGATCGCAGCCCGTAAATTACATTCATTCATTTGAATAATTTCAATTGTGTATGACGAGTACGAAATTTACTCGGTCATGAGTGCAAGACACGAATTCGTTTTCAATGTCACACATTCCAACAAACGCACAGCCATTACATTTGTGCTGTACGTTTCAATGCGATTTATTGTTATGCATTTTAAGCGATTCGAGTGATTTGTATTTTAAAATGGCATCGTAAACTATTTTTTTTTCACTGCTTTGGTATATATGGCCTGGTGGCTGGTGTGTTTTGGTTTTTCGGTCAGTACAAACGATGTTGACATGCTGTAACCATTGTAGGTTTGGTGAGTGTGGCGAGTATTTATCGGCCGACCACCGTGTCGTATGCATGCAAATGTGAAATTAATCAATAGATATGCATGCATATAATGCCCCGTGAAATGTACCGTTTTGAGCATTTATTCGTTGGATTTATTGCAAAATTATAACGATATTCCATACATATTGGATGACCTTCGCATGACGTGAGCGCGCGCGCGCGTCAGCGTTCAAGCGATCATTAACATATATTTTGAAGTGCTTGACGTTGGAGCATCTGTAACACAAGCAAATTCTATGTGAATAATTCATATTCATAAAATTAATTATTACACTTCGATGAACAGCTACAGCTACTGCTGCTTCTGCTGTTGCTGCTGCTGATGGCGGCCCAAAGAAGACGAACAAACAAAGCACTCATCAAAGAGCCAAACATAAATTTTTATTTGAATTATGAAATTCACTTTCAAAAGAGAGATAGAGAAAAAAACGAACAACAACACATCGAATTCACATCATCGTGGCATGGAAGAAGTAGGAGAAGTAACAACCGAAAGCCAACCGTTAATATGCTTACGTATGTAAATTTCTAAACAATGAGAAAAAAAAAATCGAAGAGACCTGCGATGATGATGAATTTGATTCTTAGTACGGCACAGTATCATTCAAAACGAACTGAACATAAACATACGTCGCGTTAATTGTATCGATGGCATCGTCGTCGTCATTGCCACATTTTCCCACTTGATATCGGTTTTATGTTTTGATTCGGAACCGTTTGAAATTTCTTCTTCTTCTTATTTCTCTTGTTCGTATGAGTAACAGTGGTACGTATGTGTGTTAGGTCACATTGCACGTTGCCTGTGCAATATATATGCACAATAATGTTTGGTTCTTCATTGTGAATTGATAATTCCTTCCATGCCGCATAGTTTGTGATACCTACTACATATTTTTTTTTCTTGCTCGAGGCAATACAATTGCAAGCGAACAGCAGCTAGCAGAAGCAGCAACAGCCGTGGCGGCACCGTCAGCACTCAACATAGACTAGTTCGTACATTCGATTGATTGAAAACAGTCATAATTCGGCGGTCGATGTGCCAAGTTCGGTTTTCGACACTCGTACGAAACACACACAATTATCCACAAGAAAAAAATAATTTTTAATCAATGAAATTTCATATTACCATTTGCCATCGCATTGGATAACGAAAGTGATATATATTTTTTTTTTGAGGATATTGTTTCGGTCACATTCCAACGACCACGCGACACTGTTAAAACATAATCCAAGCAATCGAAGTAGTAACAATTGTTAACGTGCGTGCCTTACACAAATTTTGTTCGTTGTTCCTCCCTTTTGCTCGCTCCCTCGTGTGTTTGTCATCGAAAAAGAGAAATTAATTAGAGTGAAGCATTTTCGTAAAAATTGTACGCAAACACACACATTTATGTGTGTTAAATTTACAAATGTTGTGCCCTAAAGTTTGTATTTATTGAGGTACATCAAATATTTAATTAGATATCAAGTGTGTGTGAGTTTGTGAGCAGCAGTAGCAGCAGTAGCAACCGAGCAACAGCACGAGGAAAGCAATCAACACAAATTGGAAAATTGTATAGAGAACATATACATATAAAGAAAAATGCCGTCATCAGTAACTTTAGCTATCAAAAGATTTAAAAATCGATTCGTAAGTCAATATACTATTTCTGTTGTATTTGAACGCATGAATTATGCAGAGCAAGAGATTTTTGTTTTCGTTCTCTCTCTGTGTGTGTGTCGTTCGTCTCACACTCTACAATAAGATCAGGCGATGTATGATGATTCATACGTCCGTATGGCTGCATTGTCAATCCAGCATACATTTTTTTAAAATGTAAATAATGAATCACATTCTGTCACTGCCATTAGAACGGAGTTTATTGATATTATTTATTCATTTGAATCGGTACATCAATATCGTTCGCACACATGAATGCATGCAATAAACAACAGCGTGCACTGTTCGAAAACAAAATCGAAGAGGAAATTCTGTGATTCACATACAGAAATAAAATAAACAACAATAACAGCAGGAGCAACAAAGCAAAAGCAAAACACAACTGATTCTGAATGAATTGAACGAATGTATGCGGTAGTGAGATTGTGATTCGATCAAATATGATATGGAACAATGAAATTGAAGCAAATCAAATCAAGACCAATTAATACGATTAATAATTAATCACATAGTCATCACATAAGCAACGAATTTTTTGCAGGAAAAAAAACCAAAATATGAAAACAAAAACACAAATTCAAATAACAATAACAAAACTGATTTATTTTGAAGGAGATGATCCGTATGTCCAATGTACGGTTTTTGTATTTCTTCCACATGTTTTTTTTGTGTACAAATTAATTTTATCGCCCATCTCAATGTATGTACAGTACAGGCCAAAAAAACCGGAACAAATGCCGGTCAATTTTGATATTTTATACCAAAAATTACATCTACTTTTCAAGAACTTTCCAACGGTGTAACGAAGAGTTAGATCCAATGGCCAGGTATAGAATTGGATTGGAATTGTCCAAATATTTCTATAAGTATATCTATTTGCTAAGAAAAAACAATAAAATCAACCGAAAACTAATATTTCAACCGTTCCGGTTTTTTTGGCCTGTACTGTACATTTCGGCATGACATCCGCTATAAACGATGAGAATATATTTTTTTTCATGCTTCTCTCTCCCTCGTTCATATCTTTTTTTCTGTTCTGTTTTGTGTAATGTGAATGTCGGTCGTGTCAATTGATAGTTGGAGCCTGCGAGTCGAGTGTGTTTAATATCATTTCAAATTAGTACTATTGTCAGGCAGAAAGAACATTTGCAAAACACACTTTTCCATCCAAATGCCATTTGAAAATTGCGTCTATGTAAAATAAAAATGATGAATATTAACATAGGAGAATGACTAAACGTAGACTTGAAGTAATTTTGATGTGAATTTCTTTGGTGTTTTTTGTTTCAGGAAGGGCCACATTCAACGCTTCCAGAAGATGAATTTTTCGATGCAGTCGAAACTGGCCTGGACAAAATCGAAGAAGACAGACAATTACGAGTGCGTCTTAAGTTGCAATCCCAACAGGTAAACAAACGATCTATTTTCAAATGGTTGCACGGTTTAAATTTATTCTTTTTTTTCGTTTTATATAAATAATCATAATTCAATTAGTACATGGTACTCTAAATCTACATTTAGAATCTTATTGCAACGGTAATATGGTTGTAAATCGAAAATCGATAACATATTATGTCAGCAATAGATTTTAGAGGAAAAAAGTAGGAAATTGTGTGTCAAATACACATATGAACATTACGCATAATTATGGATTTTGATCGACTCACATCTTTTATGTTAATCACATTAAATTCGTTTCGATGATCCCATTTGATATGATGTTATCACCTAATCGCTAATTGTTTATTTTCTTCTCTCTCTTTTTTTCCCTTGTTTCGTGGCGATTTTTTTCTTGCTATTTCGTTGATGATACAGTCGCAAAGCAGTACGACTAGCTCAATATTGATACCGGATCAAAATGATGACCAAGCAACAGAAAAAGAAGATGACGAATTTGGTACGGGGAATGCGGCTAAAGTGCATCGTCTGTGGCCTCAAATCGATGATATATGTAAAGAACAGTTGCGATATGCTAGACAAGGGGTCGGTGAAGGTGGGAATGGTTGGCAATTATTTGCGGATGAAGGAGAAATGAAAATGTATCGGCGCGAACAAGAGATTGATGGTATGGTTGTTGATCCACTGAAAGCGTGTCATATCGTTAAGGGTGTGAGTGCTCGTGAAATGTGTCATTACTTCTTCATGCCAGAATATCGCAACGACTGGGAAAGTAGGTTGAAACACACTTTTGAATTCGATTATATGTTATTCAAATTGTATTGGAAAACCATACATTTTGATGACACACATTTTTTTCTTCGACTTGAACAAAAATGATAACTAAACCATATGTACATTTTCATTGCAGCAACATTGGATGATATGGCTATACTTGAAAAAATCTCCCCCGACACAATAGTCTTTTTGCAAACACATAAACGAATTTGGCCAGCTAGTCAACGTGATGCACTGTTTTGGTCACATATGCGGAAGGTAACAGATCATGAAGATAAAACGGCCCATGACGAATGGTTGGTGTGCAATCATTCAATCGACTTGGACTCATATCCAGCCAATACGGGCAAATGTGTTCGAATTTTCTTAACAGTCATTATGTATTGTCAAACTTACATCGATCCAGCGGTCATTGCCAAGGGTGTCAAACCAACGCGCAACGACCTCACATGCAAAATCACCTATTGCTCCGAAGGTGAGACATCATTGTTTTCTCGTTTGAACACGTTCATTTTTATAAAATATGAAAATAATTGTATTCGTTTCGCATTTTTACAGTAAATCCCGGTGGATGGGCACCAGCTTCAGTGCTACGAGCTGTGTACAAACGAGAATACCCAAAGTTTTTGAAACGTTTTACTGACTATGTCGTTGAACAATGTAAAAATAAACCAATTCTACACTGAACCGAAACCCATGCGATCTTCAATGACAAACGATTCAAAAGAAGAAAAAAAATTTACAGAATATTCGGTCAGAGAAAAGCGATGGGTGTAATTTGTCAAGAAGCAGCACAATCCCAATTTAACGGACTCTATTTTTCTTTGACAATTACGCATTAACGTTGAAAACATCATAAAACACACAGAGAGACACAAATCTACATTCACCGGATACATTTTACTTTACATTAGTTAAATAAGAAAATTCTAGTTTCATAAGTATTATAATCGATGAAAATTCTCTGCGTAGAAGAAAGAAGAAATGGAAGATGAAAAAAAAAAAATTAAAACGAATGAAATCAATATATACTCGCAAAGACGAGTCGTCAAAACGGTCTCTTTCCTACTTTGTTAGATTTGTAAGCAGAATGAACCTATTTGAATTGTGTATTTTATTTCTCATTAAAGCGATCGGTTGATTGAAAAAATGCAAATGCCATCAGTTTTTTTCTATCTATTTCGATTTTTTTCTCTTTATTTTTCTCGTTTTGGTAATTAACTGTGTTTTTTTTGTGATTTTCAACAGTGTTTTTCGATAAAAACATTACATGATCTAATTCTATGTTTGGAGGTCAACGTTAAGCTCCAAGCTAACTAAATATCATAATTGATTCCTTCGTATAATTTTGGGCATTTTGTTGCGTCGAATCCGCTCTCAAATTTTCTGGTTGGTTCTTCGCCTTCTTTAGCTACACGGTATAGCGATTTAATGGCCGGATTGTCGACTGTTTTCAATTTTGGCTCTTTAACACCGTTTTTGACGAGAATGTCTTTGAGAAACGGTGGAAACTCCAAATATCTTGGTAAAATGTTCTCTTCTTTCCGCTGCGCTTCAGTTTTTGTAAATTTGTAATTCTTTTCCAAATGTTTTGGTATCAATTGGAAATCGGGCACAGACGATTCCCCCTGCAGTAATTGTAGAGTTTCCATTTTAACACCACGAAAAACAACTTCGCATAGAGCATACACTTGTCGTGGTCGCTGGAATGAAACGGGTATTTCATCAATGAAAAATGTCATGAGCAAATTTTCGAAATTATGCGCAATGTTTGCAACACTTACGTCTTTGTCACGGAGATCATTTGGTGGTCGAAATATTTTAAACTTTGGTGGCACTTCATTGGGTTGAGCTTTAACCTCAAGCACTCGCATGAAACATGGCTCTTTGTATCTGGTTGTCTGTGAATTTCGTACAATAATTCGACCGACACCGAAATCTTTTAGATTCCCAAGAATCTCCCACAATGTTTTTCCAACGAGGCTTGTTGGCTTACCCACATACTTGAGGGTCGTTGTCATTGTGCGGTTGCTCACACAGAAAACCAAATGTTTATGAAAAAAAAATTCACTGCCCTTCAAACAAACTTTTTTTTTCCACTAATTTTGAGGTTAGGCTCACTTTTACCTATGTCAATGGGTCTATGCGATTTTGACACATACTCAAAGCACATTCGGTACTTTGACTTTTGCGGCATGTACTCAAGACGCACGACAATCATGTGCTTGACAGTTCAAATTAATGATTCGATTGGAATGAATTGTTTAAAAAAAAAAAAGAACATCGGCAATGGTTGTATCAATTGGATTTGAAGGCAGTGCCAATAAGATTGGTGTTGGCATTACACGCGATGGCGAGGTCATAGCAAATGTGAGAAGAACGTATATTACACCGCCTGGAGAAGGTAAATGATTGAATGATTCGCTACGGCAATTGCATCACTCTAGTGTCTAGATAATGTGTTGAATTCTTGTAGGGTTTTTGCCACGCGAAACCGCTCAGCACCATCGACAGGTCATCCTTCAAATTCTGAAAGAAGCATTGGAAGAGTCTGGCATTCAATCATCCAACATTGATGTGGTATGCTTCACAAAGGGACCCGGTATGGCACCACCGCTGCTTACAGTGGCCATTGTTGCTCGGACCATTGCACAGATTTGGAACAAACCATTGCTGGGAGTGAATCATTGCATCGGTCACATCGAAATGGGACGTCTCATCACCAAAGCCAACAATCCAACGGTTTTGTATGTCAGCGGTGGAAACACACAAGTGATCGCCTACTCTTTGAAACGCTACCGAATCTTCGGCGAAACAATTGATATTGCCGTCGGCAATTGCTTGGATCGTTTTGCACGCATAATCAAACTATCAAATGATCCATCGCCCGGATACAATATCGAGCAATTGGCGAAAAGGGGCAAAAAATTCTTAACATTGCCATATTCAGTGAAAGGAATGGACGTCAGTTTCTCAGGGCTTTTATCTCATATTGAAAAAGTCGTTAAGACTCAAAATGCCAAACCAGACACCAAACCACACTACACAGACGAAGACTTGTGCTTTTCACTGCAAGAAACAGTATTCGCAATGCTCGTCGAGATCACAGAACGAGCCATGGCACATTGTGGCTCAGAAGAAGTGAGTTTTTAGCTAAACATTTCGATTGAATCATCATGCATAATTTATTTACATTTGCAACAACTTTTATTTCCATTCCGTCAGGTACTAATTGTCGGCGGTGTTGGCTGTAATGAGCGTTTGCAAGAGATGATGGGCATCATGTGCGAAGAACGTGGAGCCAAACTGTTTGCCACCGATGAACGATTTTGCATCGACAACGGCGTTATGATTGCTCATGCCGGTGCCGAAATGTACGGGTCAGGCACCAGAATGAATTGGAATGACGCTACAATCACACAAAGATATCGAACAGACGAAGTCGAAGTTACATGGAGAGACGACTGATGGAATACCTATAAAGTTTCATTTTAAAATGAAAATATAATAAAAAGAGTTTCATTTGGAAAAATGTGTGATTTTCTTGAATAAACTGCAAATAATTTGTTCTTAGTCTTCTTAGCTCTGATTTATTTGATTTGAAAACTTGAATTCAAAATTCGCAAGAAAACCCGTTCTGTCATTCAACAAAGAAAAATCAGTTGACATTTGAATTGGCGCACTTCGAAAAGCGATGTGATTCGAAATAGGTAGCAGAGCAGTTATTCGAAATTCGCACTCACTCAGTTTGAGTGTTTCGTCGTTTCGAGTTTGTAGCATCACAGAGAGACTTCAACACAGCAACAGAGCACGAAAACAGCGGTCCGTTATTCAAACTTGAACCATTGTACACAGCGTGTGCGTCGTGTTTTTTTTTGCAAGCGTCGTGTATTGTCTCAATCTATCAAACCGAATTTGTTCATTTCACAAAATTGTGAAAAATGTGGCAAAATCCGCCCAAAGTAAAGTATTTTCTAATGAAAAAAAAAACGAAAATAATTACATTTTGCCGACATTTTATCTAAAATTGGTGTGAATTGTTTCAGATTGCAGAACGTCAATATTGCTTCAATGAAAGTCGCATCGACAAACAATCCGATGACACTATCGTTCGCATGGAAAAATTGTGCGCAGCACCAATGAAGCGACCAAGAATTCTGCTCAACGATATGCCATTGGATACATCGTTGAACAAAACATTGCTTAGCTCGTCCGACGGTTCTCTTGAGCAATCAAACATACCTTTGCCAGACATGGAATGGAAAAGCACACAAGTGTCCAATGCACCGCAACCGATCTGGAAATCGTACGATGAACAAGTCATTGACATCAAAGATATTTGCTGCGATCTGCGTGCAATTTCATTTTGTCGATCGAAAAACACATCATTGGTTAGCTTGCCCGAGTGTGAAACCAGTGCTTACTATTCGGGTCAATCAAGCTCATTGTTCCAGTCGTACGATGAAAAAGTAAACGAATCTTATCATTCATTCAGTTTACCTGACATTGCAACAATTGACACCAGTGTATATGGTTCGGGTCATGATTCACCGCTTCAAGCTTCCGATTCGTTGTATCACTATCGACGTGGCCGAACACCGCCGCGCGTCACATCGAACGGACATCGGCAACAGCCATCGACGCCAACGAGCTCATATAAACTGGATCCGCATGAGCTGAGCTGCGAATTGTCGCCAATATCCAACATGACCAGAAGCCCAGTGACCAGTTCACTGAATCAAATGCATGCAATTGATTTTGAAAATCTCGTTGAGCCAGATAATTTGAACGATACGTTAGAACGAGTAAACTATCGTCTGGCTGTGTGCGGTGCCAAATCACCATCACCCACTAAAATGGCTAGAAAGCGACAACTGATGCAAGTGTACTTTGCGGAGCTGTTGCAACAAGGAGCCGCCACCAAGGTTAACACACAAGGTTGTAACGGTGTCGCCATGCAATCATCGCCCGAAATTGTTCATGTTCCAACGGAAAACAAAGGTCTAAAAATCAACAGCGACCACACAGACACCGCCAACAACATTTCAACTGTGAAAGACATCGAGAACCATCTCATTTCTTTGGGATGCAATTCGCCCACGCCATACAGCATCGCCAAACGCAGACAACTCATAGAAGAAATGGCAAAAAAGTCGAAGTCGAAGTCACGAATCAAGCGCACCATCTCCGTGGAACAAACACTCAGAGAATAAGCCTGAAATCGTTCGTTTTTCATTGATCTCATTGCGAGTTAACTTAAAGTGATAAATATCGCATGTGATTCCAATTTAAACATTAAATTCTATGAAAAGTATGATAGCATAAGTAAGATTCATTCAAAATGTCTAGAGACTTTATCAAGAGAATGCAAAAGATTGTGATTTTAGAGAAATTTTTCCAATTAAAAAGAGCGTAAAACATTTTCAATCATAACATATTTAAAATTGGCGCAAAATGTACAACATTTGCAAGTAATAAATCGTTTGTTTTAAACCAATGGCGCTGTTGTTTGAAAGTATGCATAAATTTGTATTGGCGCCCGATCAATTTGACAGCACAAACCGTTATTCGAGTCAGTGTATATTTGGCTGTGCGCTGTGAACATCACACTCCGACTGACTACCGACAATTGTTTGAAGAAAAAAAAACGTTGTAAAAATGTCAATAAAGGTAAGAAAAAGTGGCAAATTTGCGAAAATTGTATTATTGTTTTATTAATCGATGAATTGGTTGAGCGTTAATTTGTCATTTTCGTGTTTAATTTTCAGTTAGAAGATTCGATGGAAAGTTTTGAAAACACATCGACCAGTGGTTTTGATATCAAAGACCAGACGGTTGGCGATAGTTTTATCCGCAAAGTGAATTGGTCTGAGGATGATTGGTCGATGTATTCGTCGGAAAATTATAAAACACAATTGGATGACACAATGGATGTTTGCAATTATCGCATCGTTGAAAAGTTCAACGTGAACAGGGTAAATGTTGATGTCACAACGGGTTGGAATGCATTCTTTAATGATTCAATGTATACATTGTATACCAGTCAATTGATCGATTTGGAAGACACATTAGACATTTGTAACTATCGACGTGGTTCAATCGAATGCAATCCACCCGAAACATTGGCCGAACCAACGGTTTCAATGTGTGAATCGGTTGTTATCGAATATCCACCGAAGCTCAAACACTTTTTGGATATATCAGCGGTCGAAACAGTTGATTGTATCTGGAATCAATCGATTGAGCTATTGAATGAATCCAGCTTCGATTGCAAAGTGCCGAGATTAGACGATACAATGGATGTCTTCAGTTATCGACGCAGAGCATCCCAAATGGCAAAACAACAACAAGTGTCACAGCCAAAAACACCGCCAAGATGTAACATGGATGAAGCGAAGAATTTCAACAGAATGGTCATACCGAAATACCTGTTTGGTGCATCAACGGGTCGCAATGGTTGCCCAGTGACAAGCTCACCGGTTCTTTGTTCGGACAACCAACACCAAAATTGATTTAGCAGCCAGACAGTCATTCTGTTGGACAACGACAATCAAAGGGGAGGACAACGTATCAAGTTAACCAAATTCAACAGATCTGAATCCTATTCTGGTCGCTCAGACAAACAAATCAGATTCTGTGAGTAATTCATAAACGAATATTGTATCATTTCAAATTCCATTTTCATTTCATTTTTATAAAATTCGACGAAAAATTTCCATGTGATTTAGATAAATATTTTGATAAAATGTGAACAAAGAAGAAAAATCGAACGTAAATAAATAAATTTCAGTTAAATTCAATTCAATGGACTTGAGTGTAAAGTTGTTTTTCTTGCCGGTGTACTTAAGCACACTCAACTGACAAGTGCATGTCTGAAAAAAGTGTTTTTTGTTTATAGTGCAAAAATGCATTGAATCACATTGTGAAATTCAAAACGATGGCATCGACACAAGGAACTAGCAGCGTGATGGACTCTGATCCGAAAAATCGTTTTAAAATTCTACTGGCAACCGATATCCATCTGGGATACAAAGAGAAATGCGATATCATTGGTAACGTAAAACACGAATATTTTGGATCATTCAAAGTGTAAACAAACGTTGGTCTCATCGTGACCGCAATGGCTAAAAATGTGTTCTCATTTGGTTTAGGTCATGATAGTTTTATCACATTCGAAGAGATTTTAAAGCGTGGCCAAGAGGAACACGTGGATTTCATTTTGCTCGGCGGTGATTTGTTTGACAAAGCAAATCCGTCCAAAGAAACGTATATCGAGTAAGTTTCGTAACCCATTTCATTTGGTATAAAAAGTTTGGGAAATTTATCAAAATGTTCAAAATTCTAGATGCACGAGGCTTCTGAAGAAGTATATATTTGGTGATGCCAAGATTGGATTCAACATTTCAGACGACTACGAAGTCAATTACAACGATCCCAATGTCAATATTGCTATGCCAATTTTTTCCATCAATGGAAATCATGATGATTCAAATGGTAAATGGTAGGACATTTTTGTCGCATTGAACAATCAATAATATGTGCATGTTTCTCAAATTCTGAAGGTCGTCGCGGTAAGAGTGCAATGGATTTGTTGCATACATTGAAATATGTCAACTATTTTGGGAAGTATACGAATTTGAATGAAGTGCATATGAAGCCGATTCTGATGAGCAAAGGAACACAGAAATTGGCGTTGTATGGATTGAGCCACATTCCTGACAAACGACTGGTCAAATTGCTTCACGAGGGAAAGGTGACTGTTGATAAGCCAGACGATGACGAGGGACAATTCTTTAACCTACTGACCTTGCACCAGAATCGTGCTTATCGAGGGGCCGACAATTTTATCAAAGAAGAATATTTGCCAGATTTCATGGATTTTGTCTTTTGGGGGCATGAACATGATTATTGTTGGAAGCCAAAGCAAAATGGTGAAAATGCATTCTCCCTATTACAACTGGGCTCATCAGTTGCAACATCATTGACAGAGGGAGAATCGAAACGAAAAAACATCGGATTACTCGAAATATCGAATAACACGTTTGAATACAAGCCAATCAAACTAGAAACGGTTCGGCCAATGGTTTTCAGATCCATTGATTTGCGAAAATATGAATTGAGGTTGAACACAGACGACGGTTGCGATGACAAGACGAAGGTTTGTGTAGAAAGATTATTTTACAAATGAAACGATTGGAAAAATTCATTTTTATTCGTTTATTTTTCTAGGTCAAAGAGCTAATCCGTGAGAATATCGAACAAATGATTGAGGAGGCAAAATCGAAGGAGACCGCGAATGAAGCCCAACCGAAAGAACCACTGATTCGGCTACGAATTTTATATCAACATGAGAAGCATAGAATTACGAGTGAAATTCGATTCGGACAACAGTATAATCAACGGGTAAATGATCATTTTTCTTTGTCCATATCCCTATTTCCATCTTGTAAAAATTAGAGATACGATAATTAACTGACAAATGAACACACGGCAGGTTGCGAATCCATCGACCATAATTAAAATGACATCTAGTTTGACTGATCGAAGAGGCGAAGGTATATCGAACAGGGTATGTATGGGCATTGGGCATGTTTTACTTATTAAAGACAAAATTGACAGTCAATTCTTTTCTTCCCCAGGACCCTAACGATGATGTTAGCTTACAAGATTATATGAAACATTGTTTCGAAAACTCAACGAATGAATTTGAGATTTTCACTCCCGAACTTCTCACTAAAGTGCGTGAAGTGTTGGCTTTGCAACTAAGTGCCGATGAAAACGCAAGAAATATGATCAAGTACACATACATAATTGTTATTTACATATGGCTAAGATGTATTTATCCTACATTTGACTAATAATGCAATTTTTTTTGTAACAATTCCAGTAATTCGTTAGCTAGGGCTTGCGATTTCCTGAAAGACACTATGCCAAAAGACAAAGCCAATATTGATCGTGAATTGGCCAAATTTCGTGACACAGATGATCAAGTGCTCAGGGAAATTGAAACGGGCATAAGAAATGTGGGTAATAGCAATCAATCGACAAGCTATGGATACAATCAATCAACTCCTTTTTACGTTGCTGGCCAAAAAAGACCAAGAGCTACAACTCGGATAAACGTTCCAACTGGACAGCCAAGCATAAAAGATATGTTTAAGAAAGACTAATTCATATTAATGATTCAATGTAAATGGCAGCTAAGTGAAAATGAATATTGAACTATTTTTCATATTTTTGTATTTTTCATATGTTTCGACATATTTTACAGAACATTTTATTAACATTTCTCACATTTTTTGCCGAATCGCAGCAAATTTCCAATTCAAATTGAAATCGCCCTACCCGAAGTCATTTCGGCAAATTTGCCAAGATTTGAATATTCATTTGATAATTATCATATCCAAATCCATTTAAATCCAATTTTAAAATAAAACAATTTGTTTAAACATAATTTTAAAGAATTTCGCTCATTGTTCAATATATTACTCAACATACGAGAAAAAAAATCAATCGATTTGAATGGAAACAATTTTTGTACTTGGTAATACTTAATTACGCAGCGACGAAAAACTTAAACTTAAACTTGTCAAATTGGTAAATAAACAAATCGTTCAATTTTGTTTACTGACGGATACTGAATTGAACAATGTTGTGAAATTCAGAAAAAATGTCGTCAACAGAAGAATCAAGTGCTGTTGATCCAGAGAATTGCTTCAAAATTCTTCTGGCATCTGATATTCATCTGGGATATAAAGAAAATGACGAATTTGTCGGTAAGAATTTTTCTAGGTTTATTCAAATGTGACAAATATGATCAGCTGAATTTTAAATCGAATAAAATTTGCTGCGGTATATTTCAAGCAATTGAATAATATTCTATGATATTCAATCAACATCGATTTATGTCTAAAATTAATGAATTTTTTTTTTTCAATTTTCCATTTTATTTTATTTTATAGGTAACGACAGTTTCAATACATTCCATGAAATTTTGCGTTATGCCCAGGCAGAAAGAGTCGATTTTATATTGCTTGGTGGAAATTTATTCCACACAACAGATCCATCGAAAGAGACGTTACACAAGTACAATCCATAAATATTTAAACATTTTCGAACAAAATAAATAATTAACCCAATTGATTAATTTACATATTAAATGATTCAGATGCATGGAACTATTGAAAGAATATGCTTTGGGTGATGCACCAATTGGTTTTGAGGCACTCAGTGAACACGAATTGAATTTTGATAATCCCAATATAAATGTGTCCATTCCAATTTTTTCCATTCATGGGAAACTTGACGATCCAAGTGGTAATAATGCAAATTACGTAGAAAAGCCGTGCAGTATTTCATCATTTTTCTCAATATTTTTCAAAAGGTTATTGTGGATTGAGCTCAATGGATGTGCTACAAACTTCGGGACTATTAAATTATTTTGGAAAAAATGTGAGTGTAGAAGAGGTGAATATTCATCCGATATTATTGAGAAAAGGAACGACACAAGTGGCTTTATACGGCCTCGGCCACATTGATGACTTCCGACTGGAGAGTTTGATTCACAACATGAAGTTGATATTGCATGAGCCTGATGAAACATCTGGGAATTGGTTCAATATAATAGTGTTAAATCAAAATCGTATCGATCGAGGTCGCAAAAATTTTATACCACAACAAAGTCTACCCAGCTCCTTGGATTTTGTCCTTTGGGGCGGTGAGTCGGAATGCAGAATTCAACCAGAACCCATCAATATAGACATGCATGAGAGGTTCTACGTGTCACAGCCGGGTTCTACGGTTGTAACATCAATGTCAGAAGGCGAATCCGTTGAGAAGCAAATTGCTATACTTTATGTGAGTGAAAATAAATTCATGTGTCAACCAGTTAAATTGGAAACGGTGCGACCGTTTGTCTATAAGAGTATCAATTTGCAAGACTATGGTGACGAATTGGATTGGAATGTGGGTGAGGCTAAAACAAAGGTTTGTTAAAGTTGATTCCAAAAAAAAAAAATCACAATAATTTTCATAATTGAGTCAATTAAATTGACATTATCCATCTTCAGATTGACGAATTATTAGATAGAAACATCAACGAATTGATTAAGCAAGCTAAAGGTAAACAAACCAATAATGCAACACAACCTAAGCTACCCTTGATTCATCTACGAGTTTCATATCAAAACGAAGATAATGCCATCAACAAAATTCGTTTTGGCCAACGATATATTCAACGGGTAAATGATGAGTTTTCTATGCATTTTGTGTTAAAACCAAACTAAAATCATCGATGGCGTTCAACAGGTGGCAAATCCATTTGAAATGATATCAATGAATCGTTATTGGAGTCGAGTGAAAAGAGAAAGAGGGTCTATTGATGAAGATGCCATGAACAATGCATTCAACCAGGTTTATATGATTAAATTCTCTTTCGTTTTTTTTTCAAGCATCAAAATTCATTTGTAGAATGCAAGTGACGAAGAAAATGATTATCGTTTGCAAGACACTCTTGACCGGTATTTCAATGATCCAAGCAATTTTGGACGACTCAAAGTCTTATTTCCAAACGCCCTGTCGGACATGTGCCGCCAACTGGGGAAGAAGAAGAGCGATGAAGATGCTGTCGAAAGAACTATGACGTAAATTAAAACATTTTCTCGGTTCCGAAAAGAATGGGCATTGATTGAAAATCTCGTTTCAAACCAGCGCAACAATCAATAGAGCCATGGATTTTTTGTGTGAAAAGATGCCGGAGGCTGATGAAGCTGATATCATCGAAGCGCTAAGTGAATACCATCAACAATCAACCGGTGATCAATTATTCAGAGAGATACAGGAACAGCTGGCCAGTCGACATTTGAATTTGAGCGAAAGTGATGAAAATCAGTCGAATGACGACGAAAATCCACCCAATGCAAGAGACAAACAAAAGGCTGTACGTGGAACATCAGGAAGAGGTAGAGGCAGAGGAAGGGGAAGAGCACAAGCCACAGCAAAAGAACCAGTAAAGGGACAATCAAAAGGCAGAGGTAGAGGCAGGGGAAGAGGTGCAACTCGTGGAAACCATTGTGCATCACCTGAGCCATCCACAAGCAACGGCTTCAATGCTTCGGTGAGAAACTATGTGCACAATGACTGGTGCTTATGCTCATATTCAATCTACTCTTTTCAGACCAAACAAAGTAAACAATCATCAGCCAACCTATCGAATCCGCGCAAAAGTACGCGTTCAAAGAAACAAATTGTTTATGACGAAGAAGATTCGGATTAAATACCTCAAAAATAGTCAGACGCAAATTGCAATTTTGATATTTTATTCTTATATATATTTGATCTAGATTTTTATATTTTATTTATACAAATTGCCATTGTAATAAAAATCATTTATTTTCGATATATTTCAAATAAATAAAATTGTTTTCATCCAAGTGTGCATACTTAACAGTTAATACTTAACGCTTACATACCGGCAAAAATGTGACATTCAAATACTTGTCAAAATCAGCGCTAAAATGATTGCATTCGATTTTGTTTACTAGTCGAGAACGGGTCCAAGTGAAAAAAGCTTTGTGAAATTCAACAATTCCAAAATATGACATCAACAGAAGAGCAGACAAACGGGCCAGATCCAGAGGATTGCTTTAAAATTCTTCTGGCAACTGATATTCATCTTGGTTACAAGGAAAAAGATGAAATTATTGGTGAGTTTTTGACCATTGTGCTGAATTTTTCTCGAATGTGAATGCAACAAATGTGAAATGTCATCTTGCAAAACATTGAATGTTCATAGTCGTTGATGACGAAAAAGAGTGCGTCTGCTCAAAAGAAACTTTAAACTAAAACGATATGTTGAATATTTTTGGTTTTCTTCAGGCAAAGACAGTTTCGTCACATTTGCAGAAATTTTGCAGCATGCAAAACAGCGTGAAGTTGACTTCATTTTGCTTGGCGGTGATTTGTTTCACGATACCAATCCATCCAAAGAGGCACTGCAAAAGTATGTTATCTCAATCATTCGAATTGGAATGAAACACAATGCTAGACTTGCGTTCAATTGACATTCATTTGCCGTTTCAGATGTATGGAATTATTGCGTGCATACACTTTAGGCGATACACCGATTAGCTTTGAAATTCTCAGCGATCACGAGGTCAATTATCATGACGCCAATCTGAATGTTGCCATTCCGGTGTTCTCTATTCATGGCAACCATGATGATCCAAGCGGTAAGAATCGTGAATCTCGTCATATTCCATCACACAATTTGACCCATTCATTCTGTTTAAAGGTTATGGTGGTTTGAGTTCGATGGATTTACTTGAAACGTCTGGACTATTGAACTATTTCGGGAAATGTAATAGTTTGGAAGAGGTGAACATTAAGCCAATTTTGATGAAAAAAGGAACCACACAACTGGCATTGTATGGTCTAAGCCACATTCATGACAATCGATTGGCGCGTTTGTTCCGTGACACAAAAGTCACAATGGATCAACCGGATGAACGATCGGGTGAATGGTTCAATGTGATGGTATTGCATCAGAATCGTGTTGATCGTGGTCCAAAAAATTATGTGCCACAAGAAATTTTGCCCGAAATTATGGATTTCATACTTTGGGGACATGAACATGATTGCCGTGTTATACCTGAAGAAGTGCCTGGCAAATCGTTTTTCGTGTCACAACCCGGTTCATCGGTGGCCACATCATTGTCCGAAGGTGAATCGATCGAAAAGCACATTGCAATACTGCATGTGTGCCAAAATCAGTTCAAATGTGAACCAATCAAATTGCAAACGGTGCGACCGTTCATTTTCAAATCGATTAATCTACAAGATTATGAAGATGAACTGGATTTGGATGAAGGTGATGTCAAACCAAAGGTTCGTGTTATCGCTTTATTTGAAGAATATTTGTGTTTAATCAACAAACAACCAACTGTTGTTTATATTCATGGAAATAAATAAATTTTTGCAGGTCAAAGAGTTGATCAGCGGAATTATCAATCAAATGATTGATGAAGCAAAAACCAAACTCACTGACTGTCGAAGTCAACCGAAGGAACCGTTGATTCGGTTGCGAGTTTTGTATCAAAATGAAGACTATGCAATCAACGAAGTTCGATTTGGTCAACAATTTAATCAGCAGGTGAGTGTTTATTACGCTTTGGATTTCACACAAATCCTGGTTCATTGACATTCAATGGAAATAGGTGGCGAATCCATCAGAGGTATTGAAAATGCAGCGTAACACCAAGCGCGTGAAAGTCGAAAAGAGATCCATCGACGAAGAAGCCATGAACAATGCATTTAATAAGGTGAGTCTTTTTTCATTGGTGAAATAATTGCCGAATCAGTCAAAAAAAAAAAAAACAATGAATCACTTTTAGGATGACGAAGAAGAGGAAGAAGATATTCGCTTAGAAGATTATGTGGATCGGTACTTCAAAGATCCAAACAATTCAGAACGGCTACAGGTTTTGTTTCCGACTTGTCTATCAGAAGTATGCCGCCGCTTGGCTGAGTACAACGACGATGATGCTGCCAACAAAACCATCGGGTAAGCTAAACAATGTTTTTTTTTCTTCATCGAATTGAACGTTTTGTACTCATCTAATTTCAAATGTTGTAGCATGTCCATCAACAAGGCTTGTGATTTTTTGAACGATAAAATGCCAGAGGATACTGATATTGAAGATGCACTGGACGAATACCGTTTGACAGGTGAACAAGTGTTCAAAGATATTCAAAAGGCATTGTCGAGTCGGAAATCTACCACAACCGCGCTGGGTCAGTTCTTAATGAATGTTGACGGCGATGATGATGATCAGTCGAATGAAAAGGAAAATAAATCAACGTCCAACGCTCGAGGCTCCAGAGCATCCAAGGCGACCACCAGCAAATCGACGGCAAGTAAATCAACGGCCAGCAAAACAACTGCGTCTGGCAGAGGAAGAGGTTCAACGCGTGGTCGAGCCCCAGCATCGTTGAATGTTTCGGTAGGAAAACTCTCATTGACAAGTATGGTTCAAGTACGCAACTCTTTTCTTTTTCTAGACATCGCGAGGCCAGCAACCAACCATTCAACAATCGTTGGGCCGCAGAAGCACACGTCCCACCAGAGGCATTGTCTACGATCTTGATGACTCCGATTAACCTGCCATGCTCACCACTTTGATCATTCATAAGCAAACCATTTTAAGGGTTGTCATTCCTTTCGCATATTTTGTGTATGCAAGTTCCATTACATTGAATCTCTATATCATGTTCTTCTATTCAGCATAGACTGAGCTGTTGATTTTGATGAAATCAAATAAAAAAAAACATTTTCTATCTTGTATCAAAAATACTCTTCTGTATTTATTATTCACAAAAATTTTGCTTCAATTTGTTATTTATTATCGTAGGTATCTTTTCCTTTATAACCCGATACGTATCCATCTGTGTCTGCAACATTCTTTCGGCCGTCAATGCCCTTTCCTTTGCCACTGTCATCAAATCGTTCTTTGTGCGATCCGGTATACTTTTTGGTGTCTGTCATTCGATCCACATTGTCTTTCACTTTGCCACTCTGTTTGGAATGAATGCAAACAGTTAAATATGCACCTAATAACCGATAGCATTTATTCTACTTACGGTTGTTGCTTGCTTCAATCCAGGATCACCACAAGTGGCCATTTTTTGTCTCATTTCTTCCACATCGACACCTTTTGTTGTGGCCAAATCTTCTAAGAACTTGTTGTAGTCGGCATAACTTACCTTTTTCGCGGATTTTGATAGTTTCTTGTAGTGAATGCCGGTATCGGTTGTGGTGACATGTTGGTCGAATACATTCGCCTGTTTCATCCATTTGTCACTCTGCGACAAACTTATGAATTTTCCGTCCGATTTGCTGTCACCAAACTTGGAAAATGCACCGAATTGTTCTTTAAATGATGGCATTTTGTTTCAATACTTGAGATTTTGTGCTTTCGAAAACTTTTTTTCAATTTGAATTAATAAAAATGTATGACGATGAATTTTTCAATGGCTACTTTGGCTGGAAATTGGCAAGACGAAAAAATCAATTTGCTATGATTCCAGATTTAGTTTGAAATGGCAACAAACAAATCAAATTTTTGCACAGATTTCATTGAGAATGTTTAGCTTTTCACTACCGTTGGTTGCTTTACCTATTTTTACCGCACAATTTTTACTATTTAGTTTTTTTTTGACACGTTACGTTTACGATATGAGAAAGGATTTAATTAATTGTCAATTATTTAGAATTTTATACACGAAAATTTCGATATTGCTCAAGATTTGCACAGTAATTTGAAATTTCTTAAATTTTCTGCCCAATTTACCTACATTCAAATTGCAAAGAGCTCATTTAAAGCAGACATGAACCCGTGAGCATAAAAACGACTTATTAAACAATCGCCGAACAAAACGATACAAGAAAAAAACTACCAAACAAAACACACGTTAAAAACGTAACACAGCAGGACGGTACCGTTCAAAACGAAACTCCGCTGTGCTACACATTACCGCTGTGGTACGTTTTGTTCGGTAGTTTTTTCTTGTATCGTTTTGTTCGGCGATTGTTTAATAAGTCGTTTTTATGCTCACGGGTTCACATTTCGTGTTGCATAATAACGAGCCAATACATATTCTTATGGAGATTTTTGTTTTGTTTATTTACTGTTATTTGTCAACAAGTCTGCCTGCATCAATGCCTAATAAGAAGTGTGTAGAGACAATTAGAGAAGTGCTAGGGCACTTGCAACCGAAAACGGTGAAATTATTACATTTCTGGATGTCGTTTTGGCACATTCCTACATTCCAAAAAGTATGGAAAAATATTTATGACAAATATCGTGTTTTTTTTATTGCTAAAATTAGATTTGAGTCATTTTTACTCCAGAAGAACTATCTTTTAGATTACCTGATAAAGTTCTAGCGAAAAGCTATAGTTTCCTCTGGTCAAATCATTTGCTTGGAAAAACATGATTGAATTAGTCGTATGATGAAGAATAGCACTGAACTTGAACTGAATGTAAACACGAACCAATACCGTTGAGCAGCTCACAGTAACCTAACGAAATGGAGCAGCCGCGTACTTTATAGACTTTCTCGCAGTCGATTACACCACCGTTTGGAATTGCGACATTAATGCTTATGTTTCACAATACTGCGTCTGTTTCATATGGCAGCGTAATTCAACGAATCATAGATATGTTATCAAAATCACCAAAAAATACCAGGAAGAACGTCCGAGAGTCATGCTTGATTTGACTGAACCAATAGATAAGAACAAAGTGTTAATTCGTGGAGCAACACGCGAATCTTGAAAAGATATAATTTTTGAAGGTCTTTCGATTACGTATGTAGATCATAAACCGATGATGTCATTACTGACTCCTTTCGTTGACCAAAATATACGTACATTTAACTATTTAGTGTGTAAACATGAACTGTCAATATCAACGAAAAAATTTAAAATGCACTTTGAGTACATTGCGTTCGCCAATTTATTTTTGTTTGGTTCGTTTTTGTTTGGTTCGTTCAATTTTTTCTTCCACTTCTGTCCAAAAATGAATATGTAGTTGTTAAGAAAACATATGTCTTGGGTTTTATATCGATTTCATTCACTTTTAATTAAAATAATTTTTTTTATTCATTAATTAAAACATTTTGAGTGATGAAAAATCATCAATTTCTTATTTCATTGCATTATCATCGAGTATTTTAAATGTTTTGTGGTATCAATAATCAACTATCGAGATTCGTACGTTATTCATATCAAACATGCAAAAACGATGTTTTGGAATTAAACTCTAATTTATCCGCTTTTCGTAGAAAATTTCAACACATTGGAAAACCAATAAATATCCCTACGTATCACATATATTCGTTACTTTGTATTACCATTAGCTTTCTTACACAATTTCATAGCATTTTGAGTACATTCAAAATAAATAATGGTACTATTTACTAAACCCATCGTGATATTTTTCTTGAAAATATGGCGATTTATTATATAAACAATATTTAAATGAATTCTATCTGTGAGACTTCCTCATCATTTGTTGATCCAATTCTCAATTATTTTTTTTATCAAAATATTTTCACTTTAAATCGAGTCTACTAACAATTAAATTAGCAAAATTATTTATATTCGGATACAAGGAGCTTATTTAAATTATTCCACATTCTTTACTTGTATATTGGTTTTATTTGGGGACTTCTAAATCGTATTCAATTAGTCGGGCTGTTGATTCGACCATTGAACAGAATGGTTCTTGTTTGAGTGTCAATGATAAAAAAAATAAATGGATGATCAGCACGGAAGATTTTTGGAGGAGGTACAGGTGCAGGTGCGCTACCAAATACAGCAAATACTGTAGGAAAAAAAGGATTACATTAAATTCAAGGCAAATGTTTGAAATAGAATGCATAATCGACACAGCCGACATTCGCCGCATGAGTGTCAAAAAAAGATAAAACAATGATGTAATTACTTGCTGTAGCGGCTGCTGCAATAGAACCTTCTTCATTCACTTCGATAAACGCCTTATGAAGAACCTCAGATATTTCCAATGGTTCTGCAGTCATCAAAAGATCGCTTAAATCGGCTCCATCGAACATTCCAGACATGCCCATCAATGAAAAAAATAATTAATTTTTAATCTGTGAGAAAACAATTTTTAGAACTATTCCACATACCTTCTTCAGAACGTTTTTTAAACTGATTTCGAATTCGATCTTAAATTTCGGGACCGTGACTATAACTTCGCATAAAAACATCAAGCCGAGAATTTTATTCAAACCGAAATTTTTCACATTTTCTTCAAGCGATAGTCCAGTGCGTTTTTTTGGCAAAATGATTAAAAATGAAAGGTTTGAATTGAGGTATTTCATTTCAAGTGCGGCGGCATCCAAAGCATGAATATTTGAATATTTGAATTTGTTCTTAGTGTGCATGAAATCGACTTTAACCGTATCGACTTCGCTGATATAAAAGTGATCCTTTTTGGTACGATCCTTCGGAAACTTATGTAGCCAGTCGCCTTTGAAATAAATAGCATTCACCAAAACAACACGTGTAAGCGTATTGAGCGACGTTGGTTCGATCAAGTTTGTAATTTTTCCCTGTGTTTTTTCCGTAACAAAACCGTTTATGGTTGCAGCACTTGCATCCGAATTGGCGAAATTCACGTCCGACGTGAATTTAAAATTTGGGTTCACTTGGTAACCGGTTTTAATGTAGACATGATTGGCGATGGTCAGTATGGATTTGCCCGCACTTTTTCGTAGTAAGTCATAATATTCCAGGAATTGATTTGCCGTTGTTTCTTTATCAGCGGTCAAATGTAAGCCATTTCTTAATTCTTCAAAAGTACTTCCACCAGATCCTTGTTGAAGAAGTGCTAGGGCACTTGCAACCGATAACGGCGATATTATCACATTTTCGGATGTCGTTTTGGCACATTCCTACAACAAACAAAACATAACAAATATTGCCTTAATTGTTTTAAAAATGGATTTCAAACAGTTTTTTGTTGGTATAACAAATTTTTTGTCCCAAAGAACATGCCGTTTGAATTACCTGATACAAATCCAATGAAAAACAAGAAATTCCTCTGGTCAAATCATTTGCTTCGAAATAATGCAATGCCATGCTTAATGGAATTATGAAGAATAACACTGAACTTGAACTGAATGTAAACACGAATCAATACTGTTGAGCAGCTCACAGTAAACTAACGAAATGGAGCAGCCGCGCTCTTTATACACTTTCTCGCCGTCAATCACACCATTCCGTTTCAAATTGCGAAATTATTGTTTATATTTCATGCTAATTGTATATGTCAGAGAAATTTGACCAATCAAGCCCACATGATATTCCCACAAAATACTTTTTTTATTTGGATTTGTTGATGCTATTGGTAAAGTATTTATCTCCACGAATGAACACTCACAAAAAACAAAACATTTGATTGAAATATTCAATAACAAACCGGTAAATTATTACTATCAACAAAAATCCCAAGAAAAAGTTCCACAATTGTGTGCTTGTTCACCGTTCATCTCAAGTAATCTATCAAAACTAAGCACTTACTCGTCGCAAAACACTCAATTCTAAATATATAAATCATGAACTGCTAGTGTCAAGTCACATAATACTAAGCGCATCCATTCTTAATAGGAAAACAATGAAAAATTAATCGGTACGTATAATATTATGCAGCATTTACGTGCATTTACGTTCGACACTAGCAGTCGTTGATATAAATGAACAATAAACCGATGATGTCATCACTGACTCGTTTCATTCATCAAAATATTTACGAATCCACACTGCCAATGGCAACAAGTACCCAAACATGAAACGTCAAAATCAACCACATTGTCTATTTGGCATTCATTGATATGTTTTGTTATTTTTTCGTTCGGATCCACATATACCAACCGACTCCACCCGCTCCATTTACTCCACTAACAAAAATGACGATTATATCGAAAGGAATCGATTTAAAAAAAAAAATCATGGAGTTTTATTGATTTTCAGTAAGAAAAATGTTGAAAACAAAGTTAAAAAAGATTATTTTTAATTTATATTTAGATAATGGGTACGATAGAATGGATCATGTTTTATATATCGATTTTGATAGACTTTTTGATCAATACTCGCTCAAATGCTATTCAGTTTGACCGATCTCGGTCGCCCGTTCTGGGCTCGCTTTCTTTTCATGCTCACCAAATTTGATCTAATGAAAATGAAAAATAAAATGGTGAACAAATTGATCAGAATTACTGCACTTTCGATCAAACCGTGACTAAATTAACAATTTGTTTTGAAGAAACAATCAATGAACCATCAATACAACAATCGACTTGCCTCAACGAATTCTGATACCAAACTGACAGTGCAATGCTGAACTTCGAATATTGTGCTCTTGTCGTTGTGCAAATGTCCTGTTAGTCAAAAATCACAACCGAATCAAATGCAAAACTAATACAACAGCACAATCTAGAAAAATGTGTTGACAAACATTCAAAATCTCATTTGAATTCGACACAAAAACTGCCCTGTTTTTCACGCAGCAACAGTAAGAGCTGTCAATTCGATTCTAACGGATTCGATCGCCACAGTCACACTTCAATTTGTTATGAAAATATTCTTGCTCCAGCACACACACACAAGAATGAAACGAACGAAGCGCACAAGCATAGAGAGAGAGAGAGAATACACGAGAGCAACAGTACTTGAATGTTCTTTCTGTATGCGATTCATTCTCACATTCTTTTCTTCTCGTTTGTATATCCACTGTACGGTCTGTATAGAGAAGGGCGAGCACAATGTGAACCGTCCGTCATTTGTTGAATTCTATATCTATATCTATATGTTGAAGCGAAAGGGTGAAATGTGGAGCAATACTCAAATGTGATGAAAATAATGTTGGCTTATCTTTTTATTCTTCTACTTAATGCTGAAAACGTGCACATAGCATGGCATGTGTGAGGAGTATGTGGTTAATGTGTGCTGTGAAACGATTGTAGTTTTTTTTTCGGGAGGCGACCATACATCGTCAGCAGAGCATAGCAGACACTTCAGATATAATCAACTCACGTGACATATTAACCTATATTTTCATTTACTCTTTAGCGGCGTTTTTATCATGCGATCGAGCCCGAAGAAGTGCAAAATTAAGAAGAAGACAGAATAAAAAACAAAGAGCATCAAAATAGGTAAAAGTGTACTCGAGTACAGGTAGAATGTAGATGCACACACACATTTGCGAATGGGTATTATAAGTAATGCTCAATGGAATGAGACCGTTGCATGGGAAAAGTGCACAGGATGCACATTACAATTTTCTGTTTTGTGTCGTCTGCTTGCATTTGTTGTTGGATATCAATGGTAGCGCGAAGGGTTGTAACAGTGATATGATCGGCACATGAGCACCATCTCTACTGAATGCCATTATTGCAATGTAAACGAATAGAATGTCTACTTCTTCTTCTTTTTCTCAATATCAATTGCATACGACTTATGGTAACTCTCCGTAATCATTAGAGGTGGCGCTACTTATGCGCATCAATTGACTTTTGCATTGGCTCTTATGTACTGTGCGTGCCTTTTGTGGTAGCGGAGCTGTCGGTAAAATGAAAAGAATCGAAAAGTTGGAAATTCGTCAAAACTTCTTTAGCAGAACGAGTGAATTCGCATAGTTTTGGATTGTGTGAATAAATGTTCTCCGTATTTATTTATTTAGTTATTCGAAATTTGTTCATTTTTCTTTGAGTTCGTTTCCTAAGTTTGTATTTGGTTCGTTTGCGTCTTGGTCTCGCTTCTTTTCGTTCCCGTTCGCATTCTCTGCACCTCCCTGCCTCTGTCCCGCTTCTTTGGTGTCCTTCTTGCTTGCTCTTGCATCTTGAAAATGTAAAATGTTGCCTATGAGCAAGAGCGAAACTGCTGTCGCAAAAGACAACAACCTCGAAGTTTAGTGGGAATGATGATAAAAATGAAGCTACAAAATGTGTGTAAATTCACTTGGAATGGTTGGTGCACAGTGTAATTCTCTTGCTTCACGTACAGAGCTCTCTCTCTCTCTCTCTCTCTGTCTCTCACTGCAAAAAGTTTTATTGCATCAAAACTTTCCTCCTTTTCACTCGGTGTGCTCTTGAAGCAGAAATAAAAAGGAGACCGACACACACACATACATATAGCGATTTGAGACCGAACTATCACCAAAAAACCATTCTATTTATTATATTGCATTATAAATTTTCCCGGCAAAAGGTGTGTATGTGGCAAGAGAGATAGAGAGTGGCGCGCACAACAAAATAAAATGCCAAATATTTAACTCATACCAAAAGGTACGATTGAATTAAAAAGAATCCGCTGAAAATTAAAAAAGACAAGTTTGCAATGAATGTTGACGTCGACAATTTTACAATTTCACAGTTTTACACTTGACACTTCCGGATTGCGTGTGTCGGCAATAATTTCCGTTGGAATTCTTTGTAGTTGCATGGAAGTCATGGTTTGCATGCACATTTGCCACTCTCTTGTTGTCGCTCTCTCTCGCTCTCTCGATGAATTAACTGAATCGAATTAGCTTGCAATGGTGCCCTCTCTTGCAGCATTGATGTTAACAGGTACACGGCTTTTGATCTCAGTGGCTTCATTCATCACAATCAATGATGAAATAATCACAATCGAAATCGGCGAGAGAAAAAAAGACCAACTCACCTCGCTGAACCAAAAACGAAATGAAATTGACGATGCAAAGACTAATGAAGTGCGCAATATACGCGAACCAATCACAATTTATCCAACGAATGAAAATGAAGAAGGAAAAAAAGGCATAGAGAGGACAGCGCCAACGATATCTCACCCGCTCTTTGTCGTTTTAAAAACGTGTCGTGCAACTTGATTCGATTATAAAATTCTTGGAATTATTTCGCGCGAATTTAATGTCGATTCATTGCATTGATAACACGAACCGAATGCAATGAGTCGAACGGGGCGAAGGAGTTTGTGCAAAACGCGCGCCCGCGCATACACAATCGGTGGATATATCAATGGGAAAATTTTTGCAGCGAAATATGAACGAGGTGAGAAACAAACTGAAGTAAATTAAAAGAAAATGCTTGCAATGAGGGACAACCTCATTGGATCTGGCTCTTATTTTCTCGATGGCATTGTATTGCAAATGGGATAGCCGAATGAAGCGGAATGCAAGAGGAACGAAAGAGTGCTGCTGCTGCAGCTACACTTGATAATAAGATCATTAAAAGTGCTAACGAAATTGTGCCGTGTGACACATTTCAAGCGCGCTCTCTCGCCCTCCCTGTTTGTCTTTTGCCACCGGAATAGCACGAATTGTCTACTGCTAACAGGCGATCGATGTATCCAATGCATAGGCACATTCTCATGATAAATCTAATTAAAATGTTAATCGTACGATGTTTATGACTTTTTTCGACCCTCTTGTTTTCTTCTCTCTCTCTCTTTCTCTCTCTTACTCGTTTTTTTTTTATTAAATTTATCATCGCATTCGGAATATTTCCACGCAAATCAGACCCATAAATCGTTGCACATTATTTGAGCAAGAAAGTTTTGTGTATAGCACGAAAAATACGAAATCATAGACAATCGAATTGTAATCGCTTTAATCCTATTACATTTGCCATTTTTCACCTCTAATTATAAAATATAGATTGGAAGCGCGTTTGCACCCATTGGTGCTGCGGCGGCGTCTGCATATCGAAGATTTGCACAATTCACACACACACATGGCCATGCCCGTTACCAATGCGTCCGAGTGGAGATGCCGGTGGAAAGAACGGGGGCGACAAAGAGACGAAGGAGAGAGAAAGAAAAAATGAGACAAATAAAGGGAAAAAATGAGTTTTTACGGTTATACGTGAGAATCGCGTGTCTATGCTCCACTTGCATGCTGGCCGCTGGCCCACATACGCTGCAACGCTCTGCACGGAGAAAAGCCAAAGCAATTAAAGTTTATTCAATGTGGTGTGTGCGACATCGTCGCATATACTGAAATTTATTTTCATAGGTTCACCCATGGACACTACTTCTTTTTTTGTGTCCTTTTTCAACAATATATATATATGCAACGATGCACAAAACACAACACACGTTGCTTAGCTCGTTGTAGCCGAAGAATTTTTTTTCTTCTCCTTCTCTTCCTTTTCTTGTTTTGTATCTCTGTCCACATTTTTATTTCACTTTGACTATTTTGTCTATCGTAAAAAAAGTGATCGCACCACATTCATTTAACCGAATAGAATCGGCATATGTGTGTGTGTCCAGTGCCCAGTGCTGGTGCTTCAGATCATGGGGAGAAGAAAAAAAAACAAGCAGCCAACACTCACTCACTCTCGCACACACACGCTCATTGCACGAACAGAGAGAATGCGCAACGGAAAAAATGTAAATCTTTTGTGAAATGACCCAAACATTCGAACACTGAAACATAGGAACAGATCATGAAGTAGAGGAAAATAGAGCGAGATAAGCATAACATGGGGAGCAAGAGAGACAGAGGGAGAGAGGAAGAAAATGGACAATATGAAAGTGAACGAGACACGTTTTCCAATTTCGTAATAGAATAGACACATTTAGCGCAACAATTTCGTAGTGAAATGGCTTTGCCAATCCGTCTAAAGTTTTGTATTCGCTTCTTTTTATTTTTCGCTGCTCTATCTCTTTCTCTCCCTCTCTCTCTTTCTCTCTCGGCCGGGAGAATTTTTTTCGACTATCGTTGCAATCTTGCATGCATGTTGTCTCATTATCTCACACAAACAACATTTACTCACCTCGATATTTGAATGCCTATTTTGTGCAGACAAACGGCTTGAACCATAAGAAGTAAAGCGTAAAAAATGTGAATAGCGACAACGATAAAAAGAAAGAGACAGAAAAAAAACAAAACTATACGACTAACAATAATAACAACAACGGTGGCAAATGGGAAAAAAGGAAAATTGAAAATGGTTCATCGTCCGGACATTTTTGTGCAGTCGACGAACGTACACACATACACACCTCTTGTCATGGCCTATGTACGTTCGGCGGCATGAACAAATATCATA